ACAGCTAGTAAGTATCAGAGGACAGATTTGAACTCAGTTCTTCCTGACTCCAGGCCTGGTGCTATAAATTATGTATAAAGGTATATGTGATTAGCAAATACAAATGGCCTAAGACATATATAGGGTGGTTTGAGTGGGTCCTAGGCAGAAGTCTTTATGATTATTACTTTAATTATCAGCATTTACATGTTTGCCGTAAGCTACGCAGAAATGCTATTTATAACCAAGAAGAGAATGTCATTGTAAACACTTGTCCAATTAAAGTGATTTTTTTAGTCCATCAATGAACATTTATTGAATGCTATCTATATACAAAAGTATAAAAGCAATAACAATAATAACACTATACACACATGTATACACACATATACATATGCACATATTTGTGTACATGCATACATGCACATATAGACACACACGCACATACACACACGTACATACATACATACATACATATGTATAAGACTTATAAGATCGGCTTTTAGGTACTATCGAACTGCCTGAAGCCTGTCCTTCTAATGCTCTATGCTTTACTGATTGTAATCCAATCCAATCTAATTCAAGTTTGTTCAATCTAACAAGCATTTATTAAGCTTCCACTGATACCAGAAACAGATTTTGAAGTTGCTTTAGTGTCCTTCCTGATCAATAAATCACATAGCCATAGACTCCTAAAATTTTAGATCTGAAGTGACCATAAAGACTCTAGCTGACTACAAGTACGAGGGTCCAGAGGAAACTAGAAGGGCAAATTTGATTGAGTAATTGGAAGGAGCTATATGATGATGCAATACGCATATTCTAAAGGGAAGAGAAGAAACAAGCATCCCTTCAGAACCTTAATGTCTTCAAATAGAGTTAAATTAGAAGAACAGAGGTCTTAGGAATAGATTGGCTCTCTTCTGAGGGTTTTAAGAGGAACAAGAGAAGGAAGGGTAAAAGGAGGAATATACTACTTACTAGTGCCTGAGAGGAAGGGGTGGGCAGATGGGTATTAGAAGAAAGCCCACTTATCTGAAACAGACAAAGGAAGGTTGGACACATATACACACACACAGAATGGCCAAGGGGAAGAGGGGTGTTAAGAGGAAGGACAATACTAGGGGGGAATAATCATAAGCAAAACAAACTTCCTTATCCTGAAGAAGATATTAAAAAGGCAAGAAGGAAATGCAATGAAATATAATCTAAGGGGATGCCTTAGATCACCTCTTAGATAACTGAGAAATCGCTAAACATTTTTATATGAATGTAATAGAATATTGTTATGCTGTAAGAATTCATAAAAGAGATTTCAGAGAATCCTGAATAGTATAAACTGATACAAAGTGAGGTAAGCAGTTTATACAAGGAAAACAACATTGTAAAGAGAAACAACTTTGAAACACTTGGTAACCTTGACCAAAACACTGAGTACATGTTTCTAGAGAACATATGACAAAGCATATTACCCACCTCCTGATAGAGAGGTGATGGACTTAAGGTGCGGAGATGTTTTGAAACATGGTCATTGTATGGATTTATTTTGCACTTAAGTAGCTCAGTAGAGATAGAGCATTGGACATGGAGTCATAAACACCTGAGTTCAAATCTGGCCTCATACACTCATCGCTATGCGACCCTGGGTGAGTCACTGAACTCTCTTAGCCTCAGCTTCTTCATCTGTAAAATGAGGATAATAATTGCACCAACCTCCCGGGATTGTTGTGAGGATAAACTGAGATAATATCTGTAAAACATTTTACATACCTGAAAGTGCTATGTAAATGGTAGCTATCATTGTTGTTATTAATTTCCTCTAGTACTCTATATTGGGGCAGTGAGGTGGTGCAGTGGCAAGAGTGCCAGGTCTGAAGTTAGGAAGACTATAACCCTGGGCAAATCACTTAACCCCCCGGTTTTCTCATCTGTAAAAATGAACTGGGGCAGCTAGGTGGCGCAGTGGATAGAGCACCGGCCCTGAAGTCAGGAGGACCTGAGTTCAAATGTGGCCTCAGACCAAACACTTGACACTTACTAGCTGTGTGACCCTGGGCAAGTCACTTAACCCCAATTGCCTAAAAACTAAAAAAAAAATTTAAAAAAATGAACTGGAGAAGGAAATGGTAAACCACTCCAGTATCTTTGCCAAGAAAACCCCAAATGGGGCCACAAAGAGTTGGACATGATTGAAATGACTGAACAACAACAAAAATCTTTTCCACTCTACCATCCTGCCACCTAGCAATGGCTCTTTATAATGTTACAAAGTTAGATGGAGTGAATCCTGTGAACATTAGAAGGCTTGGAACAGCTAGAAAAACAAAGGGTCAGTTGATTCTGGACAGAGCCACACTGGACTTTCCCCTGCAAGAGGGAATGGTCAAAGGTCCAGGAGGATTATATCTCCTCTACAGTCTCTGGATCGTATACCTCAAACCAGACTTATCTGTGCTTACAGCAAATACAGTAACTACGTGACAGCTTAGGACTTACCTGTGTTTTGGTTGTCTGTCTTCAGATAGCTTGTGCCGCACACGCTACTCTGAAAATAGCACTGAGACCCGTTAATGATAAACCAATGAGACAGGAACTGATTCCAATTTAAAAGAATAAGAGACATTTTGTAAAATGATTTGGAGCTCCAAAAGTCATTACATAGTGCATACCCTTTGATCCAGAAATATCACTACCAGGCATATACCCTGAAGGGACTAAGGAAAGAGGAAAATGACCCATCTATACAAAATATCTATAGCAACTCTTTTCCTAGTAGCCTCAAACTGAAAACTATGTGTGGTGGTGGTGGTGGTGGTGGTAGATACCTTTTGGGAAACAAATGATGGCATGTGAAAGTACTGTAATGTTGCTCCATAAGAAATAGTGAGTTAGACAGTTTTAAAGAAAACTGAGAAGACTATTAATTAATGCAGAGTAAAGTAAGTAGAACCAGGAGAATAGTTTATTAATAACAGCATTATAAAGAAAAACAGCTCTGAAAGGCCTTGGAAATCTGATCAATGCAACAATAAGCCACAGGTCTAGCAGACTAGAGGTTAGGCATGCTGCCCACCTTCTGGCAGAGATGATGGAATTAAAAAGTTAACTGAGACATCCATTTTTGTAAATGGCCAATGAGGAAATTTGCTTTGCATGAAGTGCATATTTTCTATGAGGGTTTTTCTTTTTCCTTTTTTCAGTTATGGGTGGTAAGGGAATGAGAGGCAGAGATGTTAATTGAAAAAAAAAAAAGAGAGACCACTCAGGAAGAGAGAAAGAATGGCAACTTGATATACAACTGCAGTATTTCATGACTGAAAAGGACCTTAGAGTTGATCTTAACATAATTATGGATCAGAAAACTGAGTCTCAGAAGGGGGAAAGGATTTGCCCATGGTCACACACCTAGTTGGTGATAGAACTGGGCTTAGAACCTGGGTCTCTAAACTTGGGCTCCAGAGAAGAGTTGACGAGATGCACTCTTCTCCCCTTTCTGTAAGAAGAAGAAGAGTGGTTATGGGTTATATGGTTGTAGAGCTCCAGGAATTTTCACTGGCTATTCCCCACGCGTACAGTGTTCTCCCTCTTCATTCTAGGCATGGGGGGACTGTACCTACTAACCTCCCTGGCTTCCTTTAGGTTCTTACAAAGATACCATCTTCTTCAGGAAGCCTTCTCCAACCCTTCTTAATCCCAATTTCTTTCATCTGATAATTTCTTCCTATATATTCTATACATAGCTTGCTTTGTATATAATTGTCTACATGTTGTCTCATCCATTAGATTGTAAACTCCCAGAGTGCAGGGAATGAATTTTGCCTCTTTTTGTATTCCCAGTGCTTAGCACAGAGACTGGCAAATGTTTTTTTTCCCTCTTTTAAATAGTATTTTATTGTTTCCAATTACATATAAAGATAATTTTTAACATTCATTTTTAAATATAGAATTTTGAGTTCCAAATTATCTCCTTTCCTCCCTCCTGCCCCTCCCCCTTTCTAAAATAGTAAGCAATTTGATATAGTTAACAAAAGTTTATGGATGATATAGTTTATTGATTGATTATGGATGTATAAAATTGGGTATACTGTCAGTTACTGAGGTTTTGGTTAGTTTTGCTGACCTGTCTTCCTCTCTGCCCCTTTATATCTTTGTTACAAGGGATGGCTTGATGAGTAGGGTAAGGAAATGGGATATATTCAGGAATGAAGAAAATATGAAAACAAAAAATATGATTTAAACTGAGCCTCCCAGGTGTTGATTCTCAAACCATTGTTCTTTCCACTTACCTTACAACTCTATTTTCGTCTTTATCCACATTCATGTATCCCCATCCTCTCAAGTTTTTCTTCCCTTCCCATTGTACACCCAATTTCAGTTGTCTCTAATATTAAGAAACGGGTGTGTAAGGCAGGTGAGGCCTGGGGAGAGAGATTGCATCTAGTGAATTAGCCTTTTAACTGTGTTGAGAGAGATGCCAGTGTCTGGGTATGGTCTGGGTGACTTCTGCGGTCCTTTCTACAACTCAGACCTTCTAGGATCTTGGATCCCTCTGAATCAGTAACCTTTTTTTTGCATGTGAGCTCCTATGGCAGTCTGGTGAAGCTTCTCAGAGTAATGGTTTTTTTTTTTTTTTGGCGAGGCAATTGGGGTTAAGGACTTGCCCAGAGTCACACAGCCAGTAAGTGTTATGTGTCTGAGGCCAGATTTGAACTCAGGTCCTCGTGACTCCAGGGCCAGTGCTCTATCCACTGCACCACTTAGCTGGTCCCAGAGTAATATTTTTAAATGCATAAATTAAACAAGATTACAAAGGAAATCAATTATATTAAGATAGTTATCCAAATGTTTAGAAAAAAAGTTTGCAGACCTCGGGTTATGAACCCTTACTTTAGATGGACCTTCTTTTCCTACCTATGTTTTGGCTGTGGTACAATGGGCAAAGTCTGATAGGTGGCCGGTGAGCAGTTAATGTTTTCCCTTGGGAAAGAGAAGCCTTAACTTTACTATGTTTCTTTCCCTAGGAATACGTGAAAGGCCTATGCAGCCCAGAGCTATGGGAGGAGGTCAACTACCCCGCAGCCCTGCATTGTGTCTTCCTTGGAGCCTGCAGCCTCTTTCTGGATTGCCTGTGCTGGGGTACCTCAGCCCACATGGTGCCCCAAGCCCCAGGCTCCCTGCTGCTGGGAGGCCTGGCTGAAGCCTTCTTCATGGCCCAGAACCGGGTAGAGGGGCTGGCAAAGCGGCTGGGGCGTGACCCCCTTCCACCCACCCAATCCCAGGGGGTCCCAGAGGCTGAAGTGAATAGGGCTTTCCGGGCTCTGCTGGTGGGCCGGGAGGATGAGCACTCTGGAGCCCTGCTTCGCCTGCCTCTTACTGTCCAGGAGGAGCTCTTGAGGCTGGTGCAGGAAGCTGTGAAGGATGGGGGAGATGCAGAATGGATGGGCCCTCTTGCACCTCCTCTGGATGGCTCTTCCAGGCCTCAGCCCGGGAGGATATCAGCCAAGCCCCTTCTGGAGCTCAGGGCACTCCAACGTGGCCAGTACTGTGGGTCACATGGAGAACCTGGGAAGGTCAGCCGGACAGAAGATAGACAGGGTCATGTAATTAGAGAGGGCATGACAGTCCTAGAACTAGGAGGACGGAACCGGGGCAAACGAGTCTATAGGGAGATCCCTAATCTGATTCCTAATTGCAGGGGAAATAAACGGCCAGTCAATTCCCCTTCCTTCCGGGAAGAGATGCTTGGCCTGATAAGGCAGGTCTTGGGGGATGGATTGAGTCCACTTACCCTCACAGGGCCTCCGAATGGTGCTAGTGCTTCGAAGGCACAAGGTTCCCAGAAACCTTCCTCAGAGCCCCGTGTTCGCTGGGGGGATAGTCCTTCCAAAAGGAAGGAGGACCCTCATGGGAGGAGCTCAGAGGAAGGGCAAGAACAACCCAGGGTAAGCTTCTCCTCTGAGAATTATCCGAAACTGCGCTCTGCCCAGATCAGGGAGGTAGGGTTAGCACAGAAGCAGTTCCATAATCTTGAGGCAAAGGCTGCCTTTAAGTCCCAAGCCCCAATCCCATTTGCTTCCTGGAAGAATGTGAGCTTCCCTGGAACCTGGGGGCAGGGTAGTCCCTGTAGACCTCTGTGGCTAGGGCCTCAGCATTGTGGCGTAGGGCATTCAACCTTCTGGAGGGTACAGGATGGGCACTCATCCCCCTTGCCCTGGGGCCTAGACTGGGGGCGCAACTTACCCTCCAATCCACTGAGGCAAGCAACTCCCTTCAAATACAAGGTGCAAGCACAAAGTCCCATCCCTGTGAGACTAGATTGGAAGAGCAGACCTCTCCTCAGGGATCCCACTTTGGTGCCCCCATCTTGTAACACAGGGTGGTGGCAGGTGCTAAAAACAGCTCCCCAAATGTGCCAGAGACCAGTGACCCTGACACCTGGAGGCTACGATGTCTGTTCAGGGAACCTGCAGAGAGGAACTCTTGTTGGGGATTGGGAGCCAGGGCTACTTCCCACTTGGCTTCATGAACCAAGGCTGGTCACTACTTTTGGGGAGCAAGGACCAATACAAGAGCTGGTGACCCCTTTCCCAGAAATGTCCCTTGCCAGGGCAGAGATCTTGACAGATATCCTTCGGGATGTGTCCTGCGGCCAGCCCTTTGGCCCTGTCCCTGTCTCGCTGCTGAAGTACTTTGGGGAGCCCGAGAGGCAGAGACAGGCAAACTGCCAGCCAATACCCTGCTTTGCCAGCGGCCCAGTTTTCAGGGAGAAACGGAAGAAGAGCAAATGCCCCAAGACTGTGAGCAGTGACCAGCATATGCCGTTTGTTCATCCACAAGTGAATAACTTGGTGACCAGCTTCCAGCGTTTTCATGAGGCCCTGAGTGTGCCTTTCACCTTGAGACTTGAAAATGTCCCTGGGAAGCCAGGGCTTCGTCATATCATTATTGATGGCAGCAACGTGGCGATGGTGTGAGTAACATTGGGGCAAGGAGTTATGAGAGCTGGATGTCGAGGTGTAGGACCCCTTCTCAAGGTGTTTTACCAAGATGGAATTTAGTTACAACAAATATCAAATGCAGCCTTGAAAGGGAAAAGAAGCTGCCACATATGGAAAGCAAGGGAGTGACATCCCCCTGTCTGAAACATACTTTCTTCTCAACTTATCCAAGTGTTTTTCACTCATTCATTCAACATATATTTATTAAGCATAAGTTTACTATGAGTAAGGTACTGTGCTCAGTATTAGGGGTACAGAAATAAATAACACATGCTTCTTACCCTCATAGAACTTATTTAGTAGAGGTGATAAGATGTACACACATAAGTAAGGTACAAAGTAGTGTGTGATGACTGTAGGTTGTTGTTCATTTGTGTCCAACTCTTCAGGACCCCATGGATCAGACTGTCCATAGGGTTTTCTTGGCAAAGATGCTAAAGTGGTTTGCCATTTCTTTTTCTAGTGGATTAAAGCAAACAGAGGTTAAGTGACTTGCTCTATCCACTGAGCTACCTCACTGCCTAATATACATCATAAGTAGGAAGGAAGAAAATGAACATTTATTAAGCACTTACTATGTGTCAGGCACTGTGCTAAGTGTTTTACAAATATTGTCTCATTTAATCCTAACAAAAAAAGCAGGTGCTACTATCATCACTACTTTATAGTTGAGGAAATTGAGGCAAACAAGGGTGACTTGTCCACAATTGCACAACTGCTAAGTGTGAGGCCGGATTCGAACTCTTGAAGATGAGTCTTCCTGATTCTAAGCCCAGTGCTCCATTCACTGTGCCACATAGCTGCCTGGAAAGGACCTTAGAGATCCACTAATCCAGTTTGTTTATTTTATAGATGATAAAACTGAAGTCCAAAAAATTCAGTTGACTTGCCTCCATGTAGTAAGTTAGAGAGGGAAAATTGGAATCCAGATCCTTTGATTCCAAAGCCAGTACTTTCCCATTAGACTGTGCAGTTTTGGATGTTGAATGAAAGGTATGATTTCAGTGGATAGAGATGGAGGGAGGGCTTTCTAGGTGTAGGGAACAGGGTGAGCAAAAGTGCTGAGGTGGGAAAGAGTGAGATGGAAAGCTTGGCTGTGTAGCACAGAGGGGATCAGGTAAAATGTCTGGAAAGGGAGGCTGTAATTAGATTGTGGAGGACCTTGAATACCAGGGTAGGCCCTGATACTTACTTTAAGGCAAGTTCAATTCTCGTATTTATTTTGAAATCTTCCCTGACCACCCCAGTTCTAGAGGGTGATCTCCCTCCTTTGAATACATAGTACTTTTTGTCTATACCGCTCACTTGTCATGACTGCCTTGTGTCATAGCTCTTCGTGTAATTAAGTTATTTCCCTTACTGGACTGTGAGCCCCTTGAGAGCAGAGTAATATATACATATGTATGTATATGTGTGTGTGTGTATATATATATATGTATATATATGTGTACGTATATACATATATATATATATATATATATATATATATATATATGTATATATATATGTATATACATACACATATATAGGCAGCTAGGTGGTGTACTGGATAGAGCACTGGCCCTGGAGTCAGGAGGACAAATTGGGCCTCAGACACTTATTAGCTGTGTGACCCTGGGCAAGTCACTTAACCCCAGTTGCCTTCCCCCAAATTATACATATATGTTTATGTGTATATGTGTATTGTGTGTATATACATATAGGGGTGTGTGTGTGTATGTATATATATATATATATATGTATGTATATGTATGTATGTATGTGTATTCCATATTATCCAGCATAATGTCTTATATTCAGTAGATGTTCAATATATAGGATAGCCATGTGGTAGAGTGGAAAGTACTGGACTTGGAGTCAGCCCAGACTCTGGTTCAAATCCTGAGGCTAACATTTATTTAGATATCGCAGAACCTTTCTGATTCTGTTTCCCTCTCTGTAAGATGAGGAAAACGATACTTGCTATATAGGATTATGAGTAAAAAAAACTCTTTGCAGACCTAATTTAGTGCTTTGCAAGTGTGCCATTATTATTATGATGGAAGGAAGGGGACAAGGGTGTTAGGAAGCCAGGCCCAGATCTTTGGTGATAAGTTCCTTTTTAGTGACTTCTAAGTGACTCCTTAACACGAGGGTGATGAATTGGTCGTCTGGCAGGTGGTGGTCCAAATTGAAATTGCCCTGATTTGTTATACCCTAGGTATGTGGGAGGAGGTGTATGAGTGTTACAGGGACATCCCCAGGGGCCAGTATAGGGCTATGCTTTGTCTTGTCTCCTGTGACTTGTGCTGTAAGGATATGATATTACTTTCTCCTTCCTTCCCTGACCACTCTTTCTTTCCTCTCCCTTCAGCCATGGCCTCCAGCACTTCTTCTCCTGCAGGGGTATTGCTCTGGCTGTACAATATTTCTGGGACAGAGGGCATCGAGAGATCACCGTTTTTGTCCCCAATTGGAGGCTGAGGAAGAACAGTAGGGTGAGAGGTGAGGGGCAAGTACAGCCTTTGAACTTCCATTAATTCTCATCCTTTCCCTTTCTTGTGGCCTCCCTCTTCCGCCTGACCTTGTACTGTATCTACCTCTTCATTCGTTCGTCTCCCCTTCTGCTTTCTTTAACCCAGCTTTGACTTTCTCACCCCCATTTCCCCCCTTGCCTCTTTCATCTGGCATTGACCCCACCAACCCCTCTCCCTTCCCCCAGAGGGTCACTACTTGACGAAGCTACATTCTCTCAGCCTGCTCTCCATCACCCCTTCCCGATTCGTGGATGGCAAGAGGGTCACCTCCTATGATGACAGGTAACACATTCTTTCCACACAGGGCAATGTGGTGTATAATAAGGTTTTAGATGTAGAGTTTGAACCCTAGTTCTAAAGCTTAATCCCCGTGAGACCTGTAGGTGACTCATTCCTTGGGGACTCAAGTTTTATCATCTGTAAAAGGGGGATGATAATACTGAACCACCCACCTCCCAAGATCTTTATGAGAAAAATACTTTGTAGGCTTTAGTTGCTCACATTTCTGTACTGCTTTACTATATTGGAAGAGGGATTTCTACCATCTTCAGTTCTTGAACCTCTTTGGAGAAAGATATAGGGGTGGTTGGGTTCGGGGTAGGGTCTAAGGTTGGTATCTTGGGATCTAGTACCTAGACAACTCTGAGAAAAAGAAAAGACCCTGGAGATAGTGTCTGTGGAAGATAGGAGGGGAAACTAGTGAAGGGAAAGGGAGATGGGGGAAGGTTTACAAAGGGAATTTCATTATGTGTCTGAAACCAAAGACTGACTTTGGAATCTATAGAGTGAGAATAGATTTTTCCATTTGTTCATTTCTTCAGAAAATGTTCATTAAGGTCCTCTTCTGTGCAGAGCCCCAGTGCTAAGAATCAGGGAGGAGATTCAAGATGCCTACCTTCAAGGAGTTTCAAATCTGACAAATCTAACAAAAGTTAGAACACATGAAGTGCTTAATGGAAGGAAAAAGTGCTGTGAAATTAAATGAAAAAATTTTAACTGAGGGGAAGAGGAGATACTGATTAGGGAAGATTTCATGAAAGAAGTGGCATTTGAAACCCAAATCTTGGAGGACAGTTAGAACTGGGGAAGGAGAGTGCATTCCTGGTATGATTACCCGAAATGAGCAAAAGTAGGATGGGAAGTATGTAGGGGACAGCAAAGTAGTCCATGGTTGTCTGAGAAAAATATGTGATGGGGACAGGGTGGGTGGGAAGAGTGAGAATGGAGCAGGCAGAATAAATTTGGAAAGATAGATTGGAGTCACCTTAAAGGCTGGCCTAAAGATTTGGATTTTATTCTATAGGCAGTAAAGAATCACTGAAGGTTTCTGCATAAATAAGTAATATAATCAGGGTGGTATACCAGGAATATTAATTTGGCAGTAAGTAGTTATGTGGATAAGTTAGGGGAGGACAAATGAGAGGTGGGGAAATGTATATGTTATTATAATAGCTTAGGTAAAAGGAAAGAGGTCCTGAGCTAGGGTTGTAGCAATAGAGATAGTAAGAAGAAATGGATTTGAAAGATACAGCAAAGATCAATCAATCAGTAAGTATTGATTAAAGGCCTACTATATGCTAGTCATAGTACTAGGCTCTGACAAAGAGGTGAAATTTATAGCACGTGGTGACTGATAAGATATTCCTTAGAAGAAAGAACGAGTAAGAAAGGGTGAAAGACGACTCCAAGAATGTAAATATGGTTGATTAGAAGAATGGTGGTACCATTGAAAACAGTAAGGGGAGTGCTTTGGTGGTTGTTCAGTTGTTTCAGTCGTTTCTGACTCTTCATGACCCCATTTGGGGTTTTCTTGGCACAGACACTATAGTGGTTTGCCATTTCCTTCTCCAAAGAGGAGCACACTTATGGGAAAAGATGTTGCTAAGCTTGAGATGTCAGTGGAATATCTTGTAGGCAGTTGGAAATGAGATCTAAAGCTGGGGAGAGAAGTCAGGGATGGATAAAAGGCCTAGTGCTAATTACACATCAAGAAAGATACTAGATCTGGGAATTATCTACAAAGAGAAGTGATGGTTGAAACTGTAAGAGTGGATGAGATCACCAAGGGTTAGGGTAGAGGAAAAGAAGAGAGAGGAGGAGATGACTAGTGACAGATGCTCGAGCATTGCCCATAATAAGGGAGCAAGAAAGTAAAAGGAGCCCTAGAAGAAGTGGTCAGAGAGGTAACAGGAGATCCAGAAGCATGACTATCAGAAACTAGAGGAGCAGAGTATTTCCAGCTTTCTAACAAAAGCTATACAGAATTGAAGGAAGATGAGGGCTTAGAAAAGGCCATTGAATTTGTTGAGTAGGAGGTTGCTAGAAACTTTTAAGGGAACGAAAGCTAGGTCATAATTGAATTGATGAGGGAAATGGAAGCAATGAGTGTAGATGGCTTTGTCAAAGAGTTTGGCAGTGACATTTGTTACACAAGGACTTTTTCTTTTCTTTTTCCCCATGGAGGAGTGTTTTGTGACAATCCTCTATATTAAGGAGTCCCTCCTGGGAAGACACAGGGTTCCTCTGTTGATCCTTGTTTTGTACATTTGGGCTCATAGTGCCGTGCTCCCCCAGGTTAGGTGCAGCTATTAAAAGGTTAAGTCCTTGTCCACGTATCCAGTTTATGTGTAAAGGGAGGCCCATGAATCAGCCAAAGACGCTGAGGAAAACAGCCCCTTAATGTGTTTGAAGGCTGAGAATAACATGTAAAACATTCAATGCAAAACTTTATTGGCAAGTAATGGTTAAAAGGGGAAAAGGGAGAGGAAGAAAGGGAACCTAATATATAACTCAGACACAGAGAGTGTAACTCACATTAGAGTGGTGCTGCATTGGGAAGCACAGCAGCCCATTCAGCTTGAAAGTCATGCTCCAAAGTGTCCCTCTAAAGGTGGGACTAAGAGTGGAATACTTATACCCTGATTTTGGTGGCCACTTGAAGCTGGCCATTTTGCATGTCAGGGTTTGGGATACATAGGGGAGTTTTTAGATACATAGGTGCAGGGAGAAAAGCAAGCAAATTGTCAGAAATATATGATTTTGGATACACAGCTACACTAATCTTAAAAAGTATTATCGCCTGCCTGCATTTTTCCATGAATAGATTCTATGAGCTATAGTCTCCTTAAGGGAGATTATCATGGTAGTCTTAAGACCGCCAGGCCTAATCTTATAACAAGGAGTTGGGGGGGGAGGGTAGTATAGAAGGGGAGAGGATAGGTATAAGGAAACAAATAAAAAGAGTCATTGAGATATCTTAAAGATGCACAAAAGAGACAGAAGAAAGCCCAGAAAGAATCAAATAGGCAGGACAACTTTGAAAGCTACAGGCTGAATTTATTGTATCATTAAAATACATATAATTATTACATTATTTTAAAAGAAAAACAAGCTATGTATAATGGAGACCTGCAGTTTCATGGACAATCCTCTTTTTCTTTTCTGTTCTTTGTTGGAAACCTCATTTTATTTGTTGTGAAGTTCAGAATAAAAATAAAATAAAAAACATTTAGCAGTGGAAGCAAAGCATGAAATGGGATGATAGCATTAACTCTATTGTGAAGGACAGTTGAGGGAGACTGGTTTTTTTTCTTAGCAGGATAGGAGAGATGAGTTTAGTTGTGGGAAAAAAATCATTAAAGTGACATAATGAATATATTTCAGACAGAAAAAGGGATAGAGAAAAGTCTCAAAAGAAATAGGAAGGATTGGGATGAAAGCAGCTGAGAGAAATGATTATTTCTTTATTGCATTTAGTAACTAATTATTGAATTAGGACCAAGGTTTTTCCTTTTTTGTCTTCCATATCCATCGATCAACCATTGTAGGAAATATTGGGAAAAATGTACCTAACCAGGCTGAGAAAATTGGTGAATTCCTGTTCATCGGGTTTGGTCAGACAGGTCTGGGGTCGAAGGGGATTCCCACTTTGATATGTATACAGACAAATCTCATAAGACTTTCATGATCCAAGGCTCTCATTAGAATGAACCCGCATCTCATCATATTCATTTTTTCAGTAATTGTTAACTAATTAGAGATCCTTGCCACCCTCAGGAACACCCACTTTTACAAGGGCATATAAGTTGTGAGCCTACCACTAGGAGGGTTTTTGGCATTTGAGAGTGCCACCAATCTCTTTTATTAATAACATGCTACTATTATTATTAAAAATGATTGATTACTCAGAAACTAGGTCTCCCGAACTTTTCAAACATCTCACAGCTAGGTGGTGCAGTAGTGGATAGAGCCTGGGCCCAAAGTCAGGAAGACCTGAGTTCATGTCTTTATTCAGATACCTGTGTGACCCTGGACAATCTCTTAGCCTCTCTCTGCCTCAGTTTCCTCAGCTGTAAAATGGAAATTAAAGTAACAACATCTAGTGTAATTTTAAGGATCAAATGAGATGATATTTGTAAAGCGCTTAGCACAGTGCCTGGCATGTAGTAGGTGTTATAGAAATGCTTATTACCTTCCCCTTCAAGGGCACAGGTAGAGGCTTTAGTCTTGATGAGAAAAGAAGTCACCTCTTCTTTGGAGAAGGAAAATAGGGGAGAACATGTGAGCTGTCTGCATAGAGTTAACATAGTTTCTGTTGAGCTTCTTTTATAGGTTTCCACACAGCAACTTGTCAGGTCCCAACTCCCCATACATGGGGAGATAGTGTGCTGCTCTTTTTGGGATCACATTCCTAAATGGAGGCTGTATGTGTGTGTGTGTGTGTGTGTGTGTAAGTGGCTTGGAAAATACCTTCCCACAATATATCTAACTGCTCTGGGGCTATTAGTCTCAGATTATCTTTTTTTTTTTTTTGGCTAGGCAGTGGGGGGTTAAGTGACTTGCCCAGGGTCACACAGCTACTAAGTGTTATGTGTCTGAGGCCAGATTTGAACTCAAGTCCTCCTGAATCCAGGGCCAGTGCTCTATCCACTGTGCCACCTAGCTGCCCCAGTCTCAGATTATCTTAAGGCACTTGGCTGTTAGTAAATATCTAAACTATGCTTGTGGGTGGGGTCATGGTTGTGGTGGTATATAGAGGAGAATTTCTAGAGATGGAGAAGTGGGTGGAGGGAGAGGGATGGCATAACTCTGTATGGAAGAGTCAGTGGTAGACTTAAATGGGTCCAGTAGTGCCTTGGGTTGAAAGAGAAAACAGAATTAGAAGCACCGGTCCCATGTTCTAGTTGAAAGAACATTGTATTTTAAGGCAGGAGACCTGAGTCAAGTCCTGGCTTTGGTCCTTATTAGTTGTGTTGACCTTGGGCAAGTCATTTCAACTCTTTGAACCTCAGTATAAAACGGGGGATGAAAATACTTGTACCACTTATCTCAAGGATAGCAAAGATGTAAAAGAGATAGGATGATAGATGGAACAAGGTTTTGGAGGAGATGGGAAGGTTTGAGATCAAAAGGTCAGAGGTAGAGGCTGGACCAGGAGACTTACTTCTTTAGAGCCATGAGGGAAGGAGAACGTGTTAGTCCACTGGGTGAAGTTAAGTTTGTTAGGACTGAGCTTCTTTTATAGCTTTCTAGATGTGTGTTACCTTGGCGGGGGTTGGGGGTTGAGGGGTAGGAATAGATAGAAGTCTGGTCTTGGAGTAAGGAAGATCTGGGTTTTCAGGTGCTAACTTCTGACATAATAGCTATGTGACCATGGACAAATCATTTTAGCCTCTGAATGCCCTCTGTCAACCAGCTTAAAGTAGAAGAATTAGTTCCACACCGTGAAATTCCTGATACTGGTGAAACAACAACTACTACTTCTAGCATTTATATAGTGCTTTAAGGTTTGTGAAGCACTTTACAGGTATTATATCTTTTTATCCTCACAACTACCTTGGGAGATAAGATACTGCTATTGTTCTCATTTTGCAGATGAGGAAGCTGAGGCAGACAGGCCAAGTGACTTGGCTAGGGTCACACAGCTGTTAAGTGTCTGAGGTTGGATTTGCACTCAGATATTTCTGACCCCAGAAATCACAGAACTTAACCAAAAAAACCCCCCAACTTACCCAACAGTAATAGCAAAAAATTGCCCCATTGGTTTATGAGGCAAATTAAGGCCATTTACTGAAGCAATTGGAGGAATTTAAAAATTAGGAAGCTAGATCAATTTCTTCTAAACATTTCAATTCCCTCATTTTGCAACAAAGGCCCCTCAAATGAGCAATTATTTGATAACTCAGCATCCTCATTAGGGAAGGGAAAAAAGGAGAAAACCTAACACATAAGACATGTGGCCAAAAAAGATAGGATTTTTTTTTAGAGCCAGCTGCAGATGGGAGTCACTGTTTAGTTCTCCCAGTCTCTTTCTAGATTGGTGTGCTGGTGTGGCAGCTACCAGGACGGCTTCTCAGCTTTCCCCTTTTGTTCAAGCAAAATCCTATCTCTGAAGTATGATAGAAATGTTCTCTCCTTTTTGGAAGTTCCAAGATGGTGATTGGTAAGGCAGCAAGTGTTGGTGAACAGTAGGGATGTAGAGGGTCTTGTTTATGATTCCAGGCACTATGAGGCTGCTTAGGCCCAGGTGGAGACTTACCTGTGACATTATAATTGGGGAAATTGGGAGTGGGAGATCTTTTCTGCTGGTTTTAGTGATGAAAGCAAAAGAAAGCAATGTGTCAGTAAAAGTGCATAGGTATATGAACTAATAACCAGCTAATATGCCAGTGCGTTTTTAGGAGTTCTGCGTTTAATTAGCATGGCCTTTTCCAAGATGGTAGGCTTGGGTCATTCTCTCAGATGAAGAACAAGGGCTCTCTGAGGATGTGTTTAGCTTTTTTTCCCTCTGGGATATGACTATTTAGCTATTTCTCTGTCCATGGGCATCCTTATGTAAAATGTTATGTATGCTATGCAAATTATTTTTACTTTATTTCTATTGAAGGTGCTGCTGTAAATATTGGTATTTATGGTATTCCATACATTGACCTTTCTTTTTATCTTTTTATCATTGACCTCCTTGGAGTATATGCCTAGCAGGGAGATCTCTGGGTCAGTGTTATAGATGTGGTAGTCATTTTCTTAGCCTAATTTCAAAGTATTTCCAAGAATGGTTAGAGCAAGTCACAGCTTGTGGGAATTGTGGGAGTTGAGTGAACCACACTGACTCCATCTTGTGACTTCATTCCGGATCTAGTTCAGTTCCCTTTCTATTCAGTTATTGAATTCCATTCAATTTCTGTCTTGTGAAAAAACCTGATTGCATTGTTTGAATTTAGCCTTGCATGGCTGGAAACTGGACCATCTCTACCTGTTGCTTAGAGACCCTTAACTAAAGACCTAGGTTATGCTGACCAGAAATCTAGCCATATCCAAAGACTGATGCAAGCAATTTTCTCACAATTGTATATGTCAAGCAACCCATATGTTTTATCTGAACACTGGCCCTGTAATGATCAGTCAGTTACTGTTTCCTTGTTCTTTGATTGAATACAGACACTTGGGGGGGAGAGAAGGGGGGATTTCAGGGAACTGAACTTGTTCATTCTCCCCCTCCCAACTTAGGAAGTCCCTTATCTTTCCTCCAATTAGAAATCAGGTTATCTCATTTTTTTTATCCTGGTTTGTATCCTGTTGTTTTATTTTAATGCATAAAAATCTGTCTACCCCTGTATTTGGGGTTCAGTGCCAAGCTGAGGATGCCAGGTCCCAGATTTGTTATGCAATTGGCATGTATTACTTAATAAATCGATATGTTTAGAAGATGAAACCTTTGTTCCCTCAGTTATTTCAGATTTCACCTGTCACAAGCTCCACCAACTGAGTATTAGTGTGCAGTTACAAGATTCTAAGTAGCAAACATAGCCTTACACACATTATAAGAAAGGTCATAGAAACTGCAAACTGGATATTGAAATGAATCTAGGCTTTGTTTAACAGGCTCTAAGTATGAGGAAAGCACTTGGTGGATTTTTAAGTGTTATAGAAATGTCAGTTATTGTTTCTCCAGCATGCCTCAGTGTGAGATTGTTGGAATATTTCCTTAGTAGGTCCTCCTCAGTAGGATCTTAGTAGGTCGTTTACAGCGAACTCAATCAGCATGGTATTGAGGAAGTTTCCCTGATTCCAACTGATGACTTGGTTTCTCTCTATCCCAACCTTGGGCAGGTTTATGGTGAAGCTATCAGAGGAAACAGATGGGGTCATTGTCACCAACGATCAGTTCCGGGATTTGGTGGACGAATCAAAGAAATGGATAGGGATCATTAGAGAACGGTAAGGGTAATGCTCCAGGGGGAACCTGACCCTGTGGTCAGGATTAGGGACTTTTCCCTCCTGCCAGACACAGAGGCTCTGTTTTAGTCCCTGTGGGATTTGGGTTGGGGGACAGGGTAAGGAAGAGGAGGAGAAGAGGAAAAAGAGGAAAGAGACCCTCTAGAGAAGAGGACCTGTATCTTATCAACCCCTGTGAGATGAGCTGTTGGGTTTTAGCAGGATCTGACAAAGCACTTAAGCCAAACCTAGGTAGGCCTGGGGATCCTGGGTAAGTTTTGGGCTGACTCCTTGTTCCCCAGGAATCAAATGAGATAATATTTGTAAAGAGCTTGGCACATAGTAAGCATTTAGTAAATGCTTATTCCTTTCCTCCTCCCCTTGTCCCTTCTAGGGAGTATGGAAAGGGATACTCATGTGACTTGTCCTCCTCCTCTCTCTTACCTAGTCTGCTGCCTTTCACTTTTGTGGGGAATATCTTCATGGTTCCGGATGACCCATTGGGGCGGGATGGCCCCACCCTGGACACATTCCTGAGGAGAACAGATGGGTAACTGATTCCTCTTGCCTGGACAACCCTTCTCTCCCTCTTTCTGCCATTGTTTCTAACTCCTTTAATGAATTAAGACACTCTATAAAGGGAATGCCTCACAGAGGTAGCATAAATTGAGCAGATTCTGCCCCCGTGTGTCAGAATGAGGGAATGACTGTCCATTTATCTAAACCTAAATATCCATTAGGCCTCTGCATCTGATCACGTCAGACCCTTTAAAGACTCAGCTGACCTACATGGGCTACCTGCCACAACCCACTGGGATGATAGTCAGGGTTGGCCCTTAGCAATATGTTAGAATAGATAAGATGGCTTATGCGGGCACAGTGGATAGAATACTGGAGTTTAAATTAGAGATACCCGGGGCAGCTAGGTGGCGCAGTGGATAGAGCACCGGCCTTGAAATCAGGAGGACCTGAGTTCAAATTGACCTCAGACCGAAGACTTGACACTTACTAGCTGTGTGACCCTGGGCAAGTCACTTAACCCCAATTGCCTAAAAACAAACAAAACAAAAATTAGAGATACCTGAGTGGAAATTCTGCTTCAGAGACTATATAGCTGTGAGATTTTGATGAAGTCATTTCACTTTTCTGTGCCTCAGTTTACTTATATGTGAAATAGGAATAATAGTAGGACTTAGCCTCACAGGATTGTTGTGAGGATAAAATGAGATAATTTATGCAAAAATACTTTGTAAACCTTAAAGCACCAAGCAAATGCTAGCTATTATTCTTTTGCAGCCTCTTCTCATATTCTTTTTCTACCTTCTCCATACCACTCCCTGAATTATTGACTTATTCCTGAAAAACTCTGTTTCCAGCTTGCTCTCAACTAATACCTGCCAAACTATTAATAGTTAATTGTAATACTAGATATTACATAGCAGTTAATAATCAACCAAACCAATTAATAGTAAGGTTAAGGTATAATCCTCCTCAAAATAGTAGCATTTAAAGACTACAGGAGCCAAAGGAATGTATTTCTGGTGGTAAGATTTCAGGCACTGTGAGAGAAGATGTCAGTGGAGTATTTTAGGGGCAGGAGTGTGGTGTATCTCAGATTACATGGTGTAGGGAGCTACTTTGTTACATCTTGGTGATGCTTGAGGATGAAATAGGAGATTGTTGTGTTTTTTTCTTTCTTTTTTTTTTTGCTGTGTTTTTTTCATCATTTTTCTAAGGATGACTCTTCTGGGTGGTAGCTATTCTTCCTCTTTCTCTCTCCCGTCTCCCTTACCCTGCCTGTCCCACTCTTTTCTCTCTTTGCAGGTTGGAGTTGGCTGTTAGCAACTTTCTGAAGGTCTGGGAGACAAAGCCTCTGGCCAAAGCCTCCTTTCTCCCCATAAAGGCTAAGGGGCTTCAAGGTAAGAAGCATCTAAAGAGGGGCTGCTCTGGACCTCAGCAGAAGGGGAAGGTGAAGACGCTGACAGAGGGTGTAGAGAAACTGATGGCCAAGGAGGAAGACTCTCTAGACACTTGCCTGTCCACAGTTTTCCGAGAAGAATGCCCCTTCCTTTCAGATGATATCCTCCGGTATTTTAGCCTCCAGGACAACACCTCAGAGACCTCTCTCTCTCCCTGGAGAGGCTCTTCTCAACTTGATATCCCTTGGGGTGGGGCTGGACAACCCACGTGCCAAAGGGTCCTTGACCACTTGGCCCAACTGACTGTACCAACCAGCTTCTCTTCTCTCTCCTTCTTTGTGGGGTTCATGGGTTGCCACAAAGATGTGATCCCCCGCTATTCCTCACTCATTGCTCCGCTCCACGGCCTCCTCAAGAAGAAGACGCAGTGGCAGTGGACGCCCGAGCATTCTCAGGCATTCCTGGCCCTGAAGCAGGCTCTGGTGTCAGCCCTCTCCTTGGTCCCTCCTGACCCCCAGTTGCCCTACCGTCTGGAGGTGGCAGTAAGTGAGAAGACCTTGGCTGCTGTCCTGACACAGGAACGGGCAGGGCTGAGGCGTCCCATTGCTTACACTTCAAAACCCCTCCTCCCCCAGGAGGGCAAGGCTGCCCTGAGCAGAGGCGGTGGCCTCTGTGCCCTGGCCTGGGCTGTGAGGCGTTTTGCCCCCTCTCTTGGGTCTGTCCCTGTTGTTCTGGAAGCCTCCTATACCTCTGGGGACTCCCCAGACCCCGAACGGAGGGAGAGTCTAGAGAGTTCTGATGCATGGCTGGCCCGATGGTCCCTCCTAGTACAGGATAAGGACAGGAGGACCTTGGGCACATCTTTTCTCCCAGGGCCTTTGGGTAACAGTGGCGTCTCAATGCCCACACCTGATTCATTGCCTCAGTTTTTCCAAATACTGCCTCCTTTTTCTGACTTGTCCTCCTTTGTATGTATTTATACTTCAGGGTATTGTTTTTACCAGGATACTGAGTGGTGTGCAGGCTTTGGGTTGTATGTCCTGTCTCCTGACAGTCCCCCCCTCTCCCTGTCTTTCTCTTGTTCCCCTCATACACCAACCTATGCCCACCTGGCTGCTGTGGCTTGTGGCCTGGAGCGATTTGTTCATTCCTGCATTCCTCTGGTATTTCTGGTTAATTGTAGCTGGCTCTTTAACATCCTTATAGATCTTCTTCCTCTCTGGCACTCCCGTGGTTTTCTGTCCTCAGATGGGGCCCCATTGCCTCATCCAGCCCTGCTGTCCTACATCACTTCCCTGGCCTCTAGCCTCCCCACCTTGCCCTTCCTCTTCAAAGCCTCCTACAAGGGGGCCCTGTTTAGTGTGACAGTGGAGGCCTTAGCCAAGCAGGGCGCCCAAGGGTCGGGACCACTGTGGAAGTTGCCAAGGCATATCATGCCTTCTGTTGGAGTGGCAGCCAATCCCTTGGGCAATGGGCCAAATCTTCAGGTGTTGCAGGAGAACGATGCTGTTTTGTTAGAAGCCATTTGCCAGCTGCAGGCTGGGCATAAGCTTCCCGGACATTCACCCCTCAAACCTTTTGAACCTGGAATCAGTTTTGTTAAGGAGTGCAACCTGCTCATGTACGGAGAGATGAAGAGACCCAAGGTCTGGATTGTCCCGGAGCAAATCCGGAAGGATCTGATTTACTCTGTGCATGATGTCCCTCCTGGTCCCCACGCTGACCCAGAAGAGACTCTCAGGAGGGTGAGGATGTTAGGCTGGTGGCCTAAGATGCATGGGCAGGTGAGGGCCTACTGCAAATGTTGCTTGTTCTGTACCTCAATAAACAACCTAAGCAAGGAATCCAAGTGCATGCGGACCCAGTGGAACTCTACATCTGCAGTGCCCTGGTCTAATCTTCAGATTGATGTGTTTGGGCCTGTGCCTGCCAGTGAGGAGGGCCACAGGCACGTGCTGATTGTGGCTGACTCCTATTCCTCCTGGACGGAAGCTTTCCCACTGAAGTCCTTCACGCAGATGGCAGTGGCCCAGGTGCTGCTGCAGCAGGTGTTTTCCCGATGGGGGTTGCCGGCGAGGCTGGAGGCAGCCCAGGGATCTCAGTTTGCCAGGCATGTCCTGATGAGCTGTGGCTTAGTGCTGGGGGCCAAGCTGGGCAGTATCTCTGGGGATATCCAGCCTGCTGAACTGAGGGATAGAAACTCAAACCAGGCCTTCAAGAATTTGTTGGAGGAGTTTATCATCCTTCATGGGAAGAACTGGGCCAGTTGCCTGCCCCTTCTGCATATGGCCTTTCGAGCCCTGGAGTCAGGACCCACACCTTTTGCAGTTGTGACAGGGAGTGAGATGAGACTGACTGAATCTTTATGGTGGGAGCTCAGTGGGGCCCATGTTGAAGGGCTGAAGATGGATGTGTTTTTACAGCAGCTGAAAAGCAATGTACTAGAAAGTCAGCTGCAGGCAGCTCTGGCCTCTGGGGACCAGTCCGTCCTAGCTCAGAGCACCTACTTTCAGCAGGAAGTTCAGGGGAAGGAGTGGAATGTGGGAGACCAAGTCCTGCTCTTGAATTTCCCCAAACCTGGCTCAGCTCGGTGGGTTGGACCCTATTATATTGTAGACAGGCTGAGTCTGTCTCTGTATAGGGTCTGGGGTTACCCGACTCCAGGGAAGCTGGGAGTCACATACCCCACTAACTTGATGAAGTCATATCCCCAAGGTGGTGCCCCCTTGCCCTCAGTAATATTAGAACAGTTGGAGTAAGCCACTGCCCCCCCCCCCCATTTTTGGAGTCTGGGTAAGGATGCCTTATCTTTCCCCCTATTCATCACTGCTCACACACAGCCTCTCCTGGGCTTCAGCTAAGAACTAATGTCCTGAGGAAAACTTCCAGACTTGAGAATATTCAGAGACTGCAAAGGATTTTCTCCATCAGTTCTCCTGGCATCTTTGCCCAGGGTAGTAGTTTATATAGTATGTTACTAGGTTCAGCTCAGCCAACCTGCTGTTTCTTTTCAGGAATCATCCCAGAATCTCAGCCCTGACTGGCCTTAACCTGTCCCCAGGACCTCTGAATGAGAACCTGACTAAACCAACCTTCTCCCAGGGAGAGGAATAGTCTTGGCAGGGGTTCCTTCCTTTAGCTATTTCATCATGAGATTATCTAGCGTTGGCTTTGCCAGGGTGTCTGAAAACCTAGTGGGCTGAGTGAGAGCAGTGAACCTGGACGGGGGTAGGCTTCTTTGGTAAGACACATGGTCACTTCTTTCAGGCCACACACAGGCCCAATCAGTGACCTGTGCGAGACTGTCCCCTGTCCCATTCAGCATGTTAATGTTGAGGTCTTTGATGGTGCTGGATCCAAAGGGATCTTATTTAGAAATCATTGGAGCTGGGTCTAGATTCTTATCCAGTCACTGGTGGCTTTTGGGTCAGAATGTACCAAAAAAAAAGTATTCTGACTCATCAAGAGCCGTTAATGGAAGTCTCTGGGACAAGAGCCCTGAGGCGTAGTAGGAGTTCTGGTAAGGGACTCTTCCCACCTCATTTTACTCTAACTCCCCAAACCCCATCCTATGACAGTTTCTTCACTCTGGGAATCTTGATGCTAAGGGTGAGATCACTGAGCCAGAAGAGCTTGTCTTGTCTTGTCCAAGGAGCTCAATTCTTTGTTCCAAAGGGGTGGTAAAGTTGAGTCCTGTGTTGCTATGGCAACAAGAATACTGGAACTCCACACCTTCCCTGCACCAGCCCCTCTCCCCACCCTCCAAACACACACACTGTGTTTGTGAAATAGCTTTGCATTGTACCTCTTGGGATGGGACCTTATGCATGTGCCTTCTATATAATAGGGAAATTGGTCTCATCCGTTGAACCCTCACTTTTTCCCACCTGAGTAACCCTGTGTGAAAACAGCTTTGCCCTAAATTAGATCCTGGTTGGCATCTTACATGTGTCTTCCATGTAATGGGAAACTTGGGCTCACTCTTAGGGCCCCCCTCCCTCCTTACCACATTACCCTCCTGAGTGAAGTAAACTTTGACCCACATTGTGCCCTGAATGGGACTTTATGTGCCTTTTGGGAAATGGGATTCATTCCTATCACACTCAGCCCACCGATCTACAAGCCAGTCATTTCCTTAGTTCTCTTTATAGTAACATAGCATTTCCCTTTAAAGTAATTATAGTATAGTACAGTAATTTCTCTTTATAGTAAGTGGGAGTGAGTCTTAATTTGATTTGTAAATAAACAGCTCAAACTGGAAGTGAGCTTATTAAATCTTTTGGATAGAAATCAGACTGGTATTGAGGAAAGGGGAAAAGCTCAAATGGGATTGTGGGCCAGACTTTACCAAGTTTAGAGGTGGCAGGTATCATTCATGTACTCACCACTCCTTTTACAGAAAAGGAAACTGAAATTTACTGACTCATCCAAAGTTACACAGCTGATTCATGGTGGAGTCACTTGATTTTGAGTGTGATTTCTCCCCTGTTCCTGTGGCTGAGGGATAAATGGTTCAGGATAGAAACAAAGGCAGCTACACACTTTTTAGCAATGATTTAAACTTTTTTACCTCCTCTTACCATATCCATTGGAGAAAATTGTTTCCTTAGATCAGGCACAGTCCTCACTGCCATTGGCTTCTCCCATCTTTGCTACTCCTTGCCCTTTTTTCTTGATAACCCAGTGGCCCTACTCTTTGTCCCTCAATTGAGATCTGAAATAGGAGGGAACTGTTTGAAGAGATTCCTCTCTGTTTGTGTTCGGGCCACTTGAACAATCTCATAGAACTACATAAGCATCTTCCCCCAGCCCTCGTAAAGTGGCCCGCATTATACCTTTTGTTCTTCAGTTATGTCTGACTCTTCTTGACCCCACTTGGGGTTTTCTTAGCAAAGGTACTGGAGTGGTTTGCAATTTCCTTCTCCAGTTCATTTTAGAGATGGGGAAACTGAGGTAAACAGGGTTAAGTGACTTGCCTAGGGTCACACAGTAAGTGTCTGAGTCCAGATTTGAACTCAAGAAGATGAATCTTCCTGACTTCAGACCTGGCGCTCCATCTACTGTGCCACCTAGGTGCCCAGAGCAAACTAATTAGTCAGTAAACATACACATACATACATACCCCTGTCACTAGGACAGAGAAGCAAAGGTCAGAGTTCAGCAAATAACTGGTATGAAAGACACCTCAACTTTTCAAGTGAGTTTCTCTGAAATATGTGCATCTCATCAACCTTCATATAATTCGGCATGAAAATATTTGTCTAATGAATGATTTATAGAACATGTAGGAGGGAAAGCAAGGCAGGGAGACCCAGTAGGGCCTAAAAGAGTTCTCTAAATAAGAGAGGCAATGATTTCCTTTCCTGCTTGGGCTTTCAAGGATCTTTCCTGTCCCACTGGATTCTCACTGGACAGTACCCACCACTTTGGTTTTCCTTGTGATATCACCTCTGGAGTTGAGGTAAGAAGTGAAGGAGGAGGGAAGGGAAGCTTGCAATTGAATTGCTTCAGCTTAAGGGGATAAGGTGGGGAAGATCATTTCACCTCTGTGGATGGGGGAGGAAAGAAAGAAAACACTTAATTTTGCTAGTGGCTAGAGCTCATGGTTTTGAATCAGACAGAGCTTGGGTATATACAATTTCTGGCTCCTATAGATACTGCCTGGGTGTCCTTGGGTGTATTTACTTATCTCTGGGGCTTCAGTTTCCTCACCTGTAAAATCAGGATGACCTCTAAGGTCTCTTCCAACTAAATCCTATCAATAAGGATGATATGATGGCTCATGTTTCCACAGTATATTAAAGTGCTTTGCTTAGAATGTTAGGATTGGAAGGGACCCAAACTCCTTATTTTGCAAGTGAAGAAAATTGAGATGTAAAGTGACTGGCCTAAGTAAGGTCATATAACTTATGAGGTGTTGGAGCCAGAGCTGGACACGAGACTGTCTTCTGAGGCCTGGAGATGTTGCAGGGTCTGTTAAACTACAATGTTATTCACTATATAATGTCTGGTTTGGTGGTTGTGACCCTCCTAAAGACTGATTCTTAGAATTTTTGTAACTGCAAGTGCTAGCCTTCCTCTGGGAATGTAAATCAATTGATACTGCTTGCTGATTTGTTATACATGCATGCATAATTAAATGTAGCTAAATTACTAATAGAGGCCTTTACCCCCCATTCTAGGGGATTCTTGTGTATTAGAAATTTACTTTGCCTCTCCTTCCTCTGTAGAATTTGTTAGTATTCAAATGTGGAATCTCAGTTTTCCATCTACTTTATGTATCTTGTATATACCTATGTATGTTGTCTCCTGTCCCCCTCCCCCATTAGAGTGTAAGCTCCTTGAGGGCATGTATTATTTTTCCTTTGTCTGTATCTCCAATGCTTACCACTGTGCCTCGCACTTAATAAATGCTTGTTGGTTAATTGATTCATTTTATTTGACTCAAGGAACAAAACTCTAAGTATATCTGCTAGAAGGATTTTTCGTTCTTATTTGAGAAACAGTCTAAGACCTTCATCCTGGCAATGGGCAAGTAGTGAAGAGCTAGAACTCCTGGTACTACCCCTGCTTTTATTAATCATTTACTATTCATTTACTTACATAATTACTCCTGCTTTTATTAATCATTTTCTACTCCTTTAAGTCTGTAATTTTTAATTGCTTCTCACTATATTTTGCTTGTATCATTTGTTTGCCCAAATGGCCCCATAGCATTTAAGACAGTATATATGAATTTCCCATCCTTCTCAAGCAATTACAATGCTCAAAGATCCTAAAGTATAGATCTGAAAGTAGAAGTAATAACTTGCTTCCCCACCAGTTGCCACCTTGGAAAAGGGTTGCCTCTAAGAAATGAGGGGAACACCCCTCGACATATCATCTGGGAGGCCATATTAGGAGCTTTAATCCAGTTGGAGCTCTTCCCTCCAATCAAGACACAGGCCTGGAAGACTGGGCATCCCTTTGTTGTAGTTTTGATGTGGTTTAGCATGGTGTGTCATGGCAGAATGGTTGCACCATTCAGTGTCAGACCACCTCTAATCCAAGTACAGGCATTTATTGAGGATTGATGCCCTTCAGAAACGGGCTAGGTTCCAAGAGGAACCAGCAACTTCAGTAAAAGCGAGATAGCTTTTTATAGGGTAAAGTTGCAATTACATAACAAAAATTATGAATATTAAAAAGGCAGGAGGGATTCTTCAAGGGATTAGGTACTAGGGGAGGGGTCCCTTCTATGGTTCAGTTGTCAAACATCCTGGTCATGATTCTTTCTGATTGGTTAGTTATTGTGGTCCTGTCTGATCAAGATGGATAGTTAGGTATTGTGGTCCTGTCTTGGGCTAAATGGATGATGTGATTGTGGTTGGGTATAAGAACACACCTGTTCAAATATGTGGATTGGATGTGGGGGCAGTGGCTAGCTAGGGGCACTCTCTATATTGAGTCTGGGGGCCTGAGGTGTGGTTAAAGCCAGATTATGTGGTTAAATCAGGACATGCCTGCTGTTCAGTAGGGCCCATAAGGAAGTTAGAATATTGGGCCTGGGGGCAGCTTTACTAGGATTCCCCCACTTTGAGTCTCTTTGTTTTTCAGTCATTTCTGACTCTTCATGACCTCATTTGAGGTTTTCTTGGCAAAGATACTGAAGTGGTTTGCTATTTCCTTCTCTGGCTCATTTTACAGATGAGGAAACTGAGGCAAACAGGGTTAAGTGACTTCCCCAGGATCATGCAGCTAGTATCTGAGCCAACTATAAAAACTGACCAATAAATCTCTTTGGGACATGTAAGTCTTAGGCATGGATCTTCTCCTTTTCCTCCTAGCAGGGACGATGATGTACACATTACTCATTTGGAGAGGCCTTTGCCAACAAATGTAGGAATTGTAATGGGTAGGAGAAACTGACCAAATCTCATCTTAAAAGTCTCTGAGAACCTCAAGAAATAAAACCCTCATTCAGATTGCTGCAGTGAATGGCCCTAATTTAGGAGCTGTCCTATTTGGTTGGATTTCCACGGTGTCTGGTGGCCTCCTCCTTTCCCAGTATGTCTCATTTCAAGATTCTAAGCTCCTTCCTGAGGAGTTAGGAGTTAAATGGGAGGGAGAAGGAGAAGACTTTTTGAGTCATCCTTTCCATCTGATTACCCTTAATACCACCCTTCATATCTGCCAGAATTGTTGTTTCCTTGTTTTCTAGCTTCTCCCAGAGAGTCCAAGGCTTATGTCCTGTGTTCCTCCACCCCACTCTCCCATTCTTTTTAGGCCAACCCAAATGGCATCAACAGATCTTGCGGTGAATCAAGTAGGGTGCTGGTCTGCCTTGAGGGTGTTGTAGTAGAGAGAGTGAAAGCTGGACTGGGAGTCCGGTTCAGATCCTGCCTCAGACACTAGCTGAGTGACCCTTGGGCAAATTGCTTAATGCCAGGGGTGGGGACCGAGTAGCCTCCAGGCCACAGGGTCCCCATCCCTGGCTTAATCTCTCTCATTCTCAGTTTCCTCCTTGGTTTTAAAATGAGGATAACAGCACCCATTTCACAGTGTAGTTGGGAGGATCAAATGAGACAATATGTGTACAATGCTTTGCAAACCTAAAAGTGCCATCATATCAATGCTAGCTATTATTATTGAGGAAGATCTCTGGGGTCCTTGGTATAGGACTGCTCCATCCTGATACCTGGGCCTGAATTCCCACCTGGGTCTTCCTCTAGCTTCAGTTTGTTCTCCCTCCCTCCACCATGACTAACCCCATGGCCATACCAAATACCAAGCAGCAGTTGGACAGCACTGAGGAGTTGGCTCTCTCTACAGGAAACAGTTTTCATGCACTCTGGGGCTGGTACCATCTGGGTTTCTGTGGGGTTCCTGCCAGCCCAGTTTGTGCCACCTGTCCCAAAATATAGCTGGGAGATGTGTGTTTTGGGGAGGGCATTAGAGATAGGGAATTAGTAGCAATTTCTTTACCTATGCCATCAGCATTTCCTGGGTTATGGAAATTGGGAGAGAGGGAAATACAGGGCAAAAGGGGGCATTATGGTTGGGAGAGAGAGGTAGGTTAGGCTGAAATTGGAGGGATATACTGATGACAAAACTGGCTTTACACATGCATTCAACTCATTTATTTATTATGCAGGGTTTGGCACTTGTGCCCATGCAGAAGAATAGGATTTGAATATGTCAGCTATATATCCTGGATTTTTAGTAGGATGACAATTTTTGGGAAGAGAAAGCAGCCTTTTAACAGTACTTATCTAAAAGATTAGCTATTCTCAGACCATATTTGCATTATGATTTGGGGGTATAGAATATATGGTCATACTCCCTGCTCCAGGGATACTACTGCTGGTGTTGAAATGAATGAAAATTAGAGACCCAGGGCTGATTAAAGTCCCCCTCGAAGAAAGTCCCTTGATATTCCTGCATTCGAAAAGGAAGGTGAAAGGAAGTGAAGGAAGTCAGGGTAAGAGGTGGGTAGTAGTGGGGCTAGCAAGAGGAGAGGGTGGTACTTTCCCTCAGAGGGGAAAGATTAGAAAGCCAGAGAAGCTGGAGAACTTCCAACCACCAAGCAAATTCCCTCGGCGAAGACGCAGGGATACTCGGTCCCCAGGGTCCAGGGGTAAGAGCACAGCACTAGTGGCTGCCTCTCGGGTCACATCAGGGTCGTTGGCAAAAGCTGAGATCACAGGCCACGTATTCAGCATCAGGCTTACCTGGGGATGGGAGAATTTGGGGTATTAGGCCCTTTATCCTGGGACCCCCCACCTTCCCCTACAGTCTAAGAGATCTTTGGTTTATAGTATAGCCATTCTTTCAATGAGATCATTCATAATTTCTGAGGCAGCTGAGTGATCCAGTGGATAGAGCACTGGGCCTAGACTCAGGAAGACCTGATTTCTAATCTGGCCTCAGACACTTACCAGCTATGTGACTCTGGATAAGACACTTCTGTCTAACTCAGCTTCCTCAACTGTAAAATGAAGTAAGAGTAGTACCTACTGTTTAGGGTTGTTGTAAGCTTAGTACAGTGTCTAGCATATAGTAGGCACTTAAAAAATGCTTTTTTCCTTCTTTTCCTTCCTGAGAGCAAGGGTTGACTGGACTCTATGTCTATGATCTTAGGATTCTATGACCCTAGGCTCCCTGTGTCAGGGTTCCAAATTCCCTGGGCCAGGAAGGCTAAGTATACTCCATCTCCCTTGACCTGGCCTACCACCATCATTCAGCTTTAGAAGTAGACCTTTGGTCTTTAGCCCACTGGACCCAGCCATGGGTCAGCTGTACTCTGAAGTCTGACCCCTTAATGAAATGGGACCCAGCGAGCCAGGGACAGCTGTACGCTCCTTGTCAGCAGGAAGCAGTTTCAGAAGCCAAGACCATTGTTCTTTACACCAAAAGAATTTGTGTCCCATTTTTTTGAGGAGGGAATGATGGGGTATGGGCCCAAAGTGAGACCTTTGTCCCAATTTGGGCCCCATTTGTCTATGGGCCCTAGAAAACCCTTGGACTGTCCTTGAATTCTCCCACTTGATCAAGGATATCTCTGGCATTCCCCTGAGGCCATGATTCAGTCAATTGGCCTTTCCTTTTGGCTGTACCCAATCCCCCAATTCTGTAATCCTTGACCTAGCCTGGCCCTCCATTGTCTTGCCTCCCTGTGGCCCCTGGTCACTTTCCACCCTTAATCCTATCTAGGCTCCATTTCTCTGGAATTCTATTACCTCATAGACGACTTGGTCACTCCTAGATCCCTTCCATAGTCTTTCTGTAAATAAGGTCCATCAGTGTCTCCATTAATTGATTTTTATAATCTAGCCACTGCTGAGATTTTTACAATCTGGCCACTAGCTCACAGGTGCTCAGATTTCCTGAAGAGTCTGGCCAATATGGCGGATCTTTAATAAACCTTGTCATTGACTGAAAAAAAAAAGTAACCAGGATCTCCAGCCACTCACTGGCCAGAGGCTGGCTGCTAACTAGAGGTGATCCAGACTACTGTGGAATTCTGTGGCCACTGTCTTAAAGTGGGGGTGGGTGACTAAACAAAAGGTTAGAACTGGAAGTGAGAAACACAGCATGAATCAGAGATGGGTTGGGGATATCCTAACTGTCTTTGCCTATCTCTTTGTCTTCTTGAGCTTTGAGAGAAGCAGGGCTCTGGGCTCACCTGAACCGTCTGGCGGTTGTATACCTTCACCACATGGAACCGGAAACTGTAGACACCCCGGACAGGGGCAATAAAGGAGCCTGAGGCCCTGTCAAAGCCATTGCCTTCATTCACCAGGACCTAGGCAGAGGGAGAGAGGGGTAGGAAAAAATAGTATGGGAGGGGTGGGAAGGAAGAGTTTGTAGTGAGTAGAGAAAGGAAAAGGTGGGGAGCAGGGGGAAGGATTGGATGAATGGGGTAAGGAGGACTCTTGAATGAGGGTACTTGGGGGAAGGGGAGAAAGGTGTAGGAAATGGCAAAAGTGGGAGAACTATGGGACTGGTTTTCTTAAAGAGAGATGAACTGTGGGAATGTAGAAGACTGGGTGGGACTCAGAATAGAAGCCAGTTTTTCTCTCCACTTAGGGTTCTGCAGGTGGGGTGGGTGTGATGGGGGAGGAATGTTACCTGGTCAAAGTAGATGGCGCCACTGGTACCATTGCCTGTTTCTCCAGCTGGTTCATGATGGTGACTACGGACAGCAGCAAAGGCCACCCGCCCTGGGGGAGCCTCTCCCAGGGCTGCCCCACCTGGACCTCCTGCAGTTGCCCGGCCAGGTTCACATACCACAAGGCATTCTCCTTCCAACAGGACAGGCTCTGTCACTTCCTGTGCCTGCCCAGATCCGAAGGCCAGGAGTACAAGGGTCAGGAAAGACATCACAGGCTCAGGTGGTTGCTCCCAGTGTCCAGGACCACTTTTATCCCCCACACTGCAAGGATGAAGCCCACTATACCTCTCTGCTTTCTATAGCTCTTCTTTCTCTCTCCTTCACTTTCTCTCCCTCCTACAGTCTTTCTCCTTCCTGTCCCCTTCTTCCTCTTTGTCCTAAGGTCTCGCTTGGTCTTATCCTAACTGCCCCTCTTGTTTCTTCACCCTAGTCACCTTGTCAACTGGTCTTTCTAGCTCTTGTTCCATCTCTACCTGGCACCCACAGGATCCGTGTGTCTCTGTGTCCTGCCACTCACTGCCTCCTCTGCTATGGCTCCCTCCCTTTTGGCAGAGTGCACAAGAGACAGCCAATGAGCCCCAGGAAAGAACGGAGGGACAAGGAGGAGGGACAGGAGGGACCATAGCCAGGACCCCAGGGAGAGTCTTCAGAGGCAGTGAGGCAGGAGCTAGAGCTGATGAGAGATAGGGGTGTGTATGGGGGGGCTGCTCCCTTTGTCCCCAACTCCTTACACACATGGCTGTTAATGCTAGTATAATATTGCTTTTCTTTCCTCTTCATCCTTAACAAATGAGATAACGTGCAAAGTGCTATGCAAACCTTAACTATATAGATAATAATTATATATTATCATATTATTAATTCTTATTATCTTGCTCCCTTAATGAGCCCTATTCACTCCCCCCTCCTTCCACTCTCCCTAATATCTTTTTCTTGTACTGAGTATCAAAGGAAGCTGTGAAAAGGGGTAGCCATCTCTTTTCCCATATGATTAAAGTTCTGGAAAGGAAAGTGAACCAGGGACCATGAGGCATGAGTTCTAGACCAGGTTCTGCCACTAATGAGCCCCATGACAAGGATTCTCAAGCTTTTTGGTCTTAGGACCCCTTTAAACTCTTAAAAATTATGAAGGACCTCCAAAGAGCTTTTGTTTCTGTGGGGTATATCTATAGGTATTTACTGTATTAGAAATTAAAATGTCAGTATTATTATGAAAATCGTCTAGCCTTGTGGTCCTCACCCATATCACCTTCCCCTGTCCCCACAGGGTCCCTGGACCACATTTTGAGAACTTGACTTCCGGCCAAGTAACAACCTTTGGGGCTCAGTTTTGCCTTCTGCACAATTAAGAGGATTGGATGAGGCAATCTCTAAGGACCCTGTTAGCCCTAAAATTCAGTTCAAAAGATATTAAAATTCTAGGATTCTGGGATGTCATTTCCAATTTATAGAGTAAACAATGTACAAAGGAAAGTCTGCAGAAAGGAGACTTATGGAAAACAGGCAGGAAGAAAAAAGAGAGATAGAAGGGAGAAAGGCAGGGAGAGCAGGAAGAAGTCAGAAGTGAAAGGTGGAAGGAGGGGAGGTGAATGGAGGACAGGGTGGAGAGGATGCCCTCTTTAGGTAGGGCCTGATACTGGATGGAGCGAGCCTTTTCTCTCTCTCCACCACCCTTTTGACTCCCGCCCCCCTCCCCCCCCATCCTGGGTGGAGACCCAAAGTCCCTAGGGTTAGGTCAGCCTCAGGGTGGAGCTGAGTAAACTCCTCCCCTGACCAGGAAGTGAGGAGGAAAGCTGTTGTGTACGTGAGAGAGAGTCAGGAACCTGTGGTATGGAAGGGTCCAATTGAACTAGAGACCTGCTCACTCTTACTCCTCTACCTCCAGAGCGGGAGCTTCGGGTTCCCGAGCTGTAGGACACCGAGATCCTTGGGAATAAGATCTAGGTACTACAGGAGCCCACTGCCAAGACGGATAAGTGCCTTTGAACCTTCCCATTTCTCCCCAGGGGAGGGTAGAGGTAATAGGGGAGATCGAGGAGACGAGGACTCAGAAACCCAGAGACAGAGGAGCAGAGGTTTATGCACTTGAATGGGAGAGCCCCAGGACGGGGCAGTAAGGACGAGAACTGGGAGTCTTGTCCCCAGGGTCAGCTGGGGGGTTGGGGGGGTGGGCTTACGGCTGGACCGAGGGGGCGGAGTAATGGGTGGGAGCGTGGTTCGATAACCCTTTGGAACTTCAGGTTCTGGGTTATGACGTTGGAGCTGGTCAAGGTTGTGGCGGGGAGCCGGATCCGATCCTGGTGGCGGAGAGGATTTGGACAGAGGGGCTGCCATGTCTGAGCCTCTCCTCTTCCTACCCTATCAGGGCTGGCTTCGCAACCATGCTCCCCTCGGGGACCACTCCTGGGACCACGGACCGTTTCACGGTGTTGGCGGATGCGGAGGACGTGGTGCTTAAACAGCGGCCTCAAGTGGAACGCATCTTCAGAGTGCAGCTGAGTGTCCTTGAGAAGACCTGCCCGGGGAGCCCCCACATCTGGTTGCAGCTGGAGGGGCCCCAAGAGAATGTAGGAAGAGCCAAGGTACCACTTCCTCTCCCTTTCCCCAGGCTGCTTGGAGTGTCGGGTTGGGGGGAGGGAGAAGGGCCGTAGGAGGGCCCACTTTCCTGCTCTTGGAGAACCTCCCCTTCCTCGAGCTTCCAGGAAGCTTTGCTGGACTCTGCTTGTTGCTCTTCCTTGTCCACTTGTCTCTCTGGCAGCGTCAAGGGCCCAGCAGTCAGGGGATTTCCCGGCTCTCTCGTTGTCTTTTGATTTTGGTTTCATTTCTTTCAGGCTGCCAGATTTCAACTTTTCCGTGCAGAACTGGGAGAGGAGGTTGGGGTGGGGAGTGAGAGCTGAGATTCCTTATACTTCCTAAATATCACCGCCCCCCTCCCCTTTCTCTTTCCATTTGTTGATTTGTTTCCCTGTCCCCTTTGTCTCTCTCTGTGTGTAGCCCCAATACTGGAAGCATTGGTGGGGGGTGAAGAGTGGGTAGAGAAGAGAACTGAGAAACTGGAAGAACAGACATCAACTAGAAGAACCATTCCTTCCCTTTCCATTCCTCCAGGAGTACCTGAAAGGCCTTTGCAACCCAGAGGTGTGGGAGGAAGTCAGCTATCCTGCAGTCCTGCACTGTGTCTTCTTTGGAGCCGGGGGTCTCTTCCTGGACTGCCTGTGTTGGGGTACCTCAGCTTATATGGTGCCCCAAACCCCTGGCTCTCTGATACTGGGGGGCCTGATTGAAGCCTATGTCATGGCCCAGAGCAGGATGGAAGATCTGTTAGGGCGACTGAGGCAAGGTGGTATCCAGTGGCCGCAGTCCAGTAGTGCCAGGGAACAAGTGACTCAGGCCTTCAAGGCCCTGGTTGGGAGCTATGGAGATGAACAGTCCAGGGCTCTCCTGGGTTTGCCTGTATCTGTCCAGGAGTGGCTGTTAAACTTGGCAGGAGAGGCAGGTAGGGGCCAAGGACTGCCAGAACCTCCTCTGAGGCAAGAGAGGAGCCCAGTTCTCGTTGGGAATAGTGGTTGGGAGGACCTTGTTAGAAAGACTCCAAGTGAGGGCAGAGAAGTCAGGGAGGGCGACATTGTCTCATTGGGTACCAGATCTGTTGATCAGGAAGGGCTTAAGGAAGGGGTTTATGCTAGGGAAGAGTGTCTGCCCTCTGATCCTGTAGAGAGAGACTGGGAAAGACTGTGGTCCATGGGAGAGGGGGATTCCAGGAGGATTAGAGAACTGGTCAGGGAAAAGGACTCACATACACAGAATCTCTCTGGGCAAAGAAACTTGGAGAGACCAGGGAGTCCCAAGGAGGGATTACTTAGGCAGAGGAACTGGGGTAGGGAAGGGATCCCTGAGGAAAGAAATTGTCCATCTAGGAAAAGGTACTGGGAGAAGGATGGATTTCTTGGGGAGAGAGATTGGAGTGGGGATGGCTCGACTATGGGGAGAGACTGGGACGGAGATGGGCACTTTGGGCAGAGGGGTTGTGGGGAAAGGGGACATAATAGGGAGGAGGACCAGGATGGAGAACTGTATCTGGAAGGAGAGGGCTTGAAAAGAGAGGAGCTATCAGGTAACATGTCTCAAAGAGAAGAGCTCCAGAGCAAAAATCAGTTCCCAAGCCCACACACTGTCAAGGCTGACTTCCTCCTGGGGGGGAACCAGGCTGCAGCTGATTCCTATGGCCATTCTCCTCAGGCAGTGGTATGTGACTGGCAGTGGAGGGGCCCCCTAATGCCCCTCCAGCTCAACAATGGAGAATCCTCTCCACCAATGGAGCCCAACCTTCTACCTGGGGCTCAGCCCACATGGCTTGTTTCTCCAAAGCCCGGGGATGGGCAGTCAGTGGGACTTAAGGGACAGGAGCCTCTAAAGGGAAGCTTAGGTGGCATCACTGGTGGCAGCTGTGAGGTGACCAAAACTCAGCGCTTTCTGGAGGCCCTGAAGACCCCGTTTTCCTTGAACCTCACTAACGTGCCTGGTGCAACAGGTCTTCGACATGTTATCATTGATGGCAGCAATATAGCTATGATGTGAGTACACCTCTGACCTCCTAACTGAAGGCACTGCTTAGGAAACTCCCTGAGGCATGGGGTCTTAAAGAAAATAATAATAGTAAGCACAATAATAGCTATCATTTATGTAGTACTTTAAGGTTTGTGAAGAGCTTTACCCATATTATCTTACTGATTCTTACAACACCACCGTGAGGCATATATTATTTAATTATCCCCATTTCACGTAGAGGAAACTGAGTCAGACAGAGGTTAAGTGACTTGTCCAGGCTCATCCAGTTAGGAAAGTATCTGAGGCAGGAGTCGAACTTAGATCTTCCTGATTCCAAGTTCTTACCTCTCTTGTGTTCCAACAAAGCACCTGAAGCAACATAGTGAATTTGGTAGTGAAAGTATTATTCAGTGCTGTCCTGGTAGCCGGCTTGAAAGGTTAGAGCAGATTGTTAGCTTTTCAGTGTGAGCATTTACCCCTCAAAAATTGGCAAATGCTACAGATAAAGGCTTAATTTATTGTTCTGTTCATTGTCTAGAATTAAGAAAATAGTCCAGAAAATGCTAATAATGCAGATGAAATGCAAATGTGTTATGGGCATATGTCTTTTTCCAGAGAGCCGGTTGTTAAACATCTGTCAACACACCCCTGATTATTGTTGGCATTTTGTAGGTGAAGACATGGAAACAGAGGCTCAGAGATGTGATGCTACTTGTCTTCAGTCATGTGGCTAGTTGGGAAAGGGACTGAGATCTGAATCCAGGTCTTTGATTCCAGTCCCAGCAGACTAATACACTGTGTGATTTTGGGAAAGCTATCCTCTCTGTGTCTTGGTTACCAGATAAACTGATCTCAGATCATCTTTAAAGATAATGCCTCACTAAAGACACTGAGGATGGAATCAGTGTTACATCTTGGGCATAGATCTAAGGAGTCTAAGAGTCAGCATAGGTGGAGAGCCCTGATTTTGGCATTAGAGGACCTGCTTTCAAATGCCAGCTCTGCCACTTTCTACCTGGGGGAGCTTGAATAAGTCAATTAACCTCAGCCTCCGTTTCCTCCTCTGTAAATGAGAGAGGAGGTTGGACCAGATCCTATACTTCTGACTCTATGGCCAGTAATTTTTTCCTACCTCACTGGTTGATTGTTGTTATATTCAAAACAGTGGATAGGGCAGGCCACATGTCTGTCTGCCCTCTTTGAGCCTCCCAGAGGATGCCTTAGACACAGGGGTATGGATGAAGAATCCTGTTCTCGGGTTGAACAACAATCTAATCCCAACCATTTGCTTTTTCAGCCATGGACTCCAGCATTTCTTCTCCTGCCGGGGCATAGCCTTAGCTGTTCAGTATTTCTGGGATCGGGGGCACCGGGAGATCACTGTCTTTTTGCCTCAGTGGCGCCTAAGGAAGGATGCCAAGGTGAAAGGTGAGCAGGGTTTCACCCCAGACTCTATTTACCCATCTTCCCTGAATTCCCTACCCAGGGACTAACCAGGCCATTCAATCCCTTCCCACCCTCATCCGGATCCCTCCCCCACAGAACGTCATTTCCTGACTAAACTACAGTCCCTCAGCCTGCTCTCTGTCACCCCCTCTCGAATTGTGGAAGGGAAGAGGATTACCTCCTATGATGACAGGTACTCTCCCCCCAGCCCTAGCCTTGGTGACAGGGGAGCCAAGGGAGGGCATGGGAACTGTGGAGGAGGGAAGGTTAGAAGAACCTATTCTAAGCCCAATTTCGGGGAAGTTGGTAGCAGTGCCCCTTCTGCCATGTCCGTTCAGACAGTCACCATGCAGTTTATTAAATGCTGTGTGGCAGGGACTGGGCTAAGTGTGGGGGATACAAAGAAAGGCAAAAACACAGTTTACTTATAATTGTGCCAGTCCCAGTTTGCTCCCCCACCCCTCCATTCCTCTGTGTGTGTGTGTGTGTGTGTGTGTGTGTGTGTGTGTGTGTATGTGGCTTGCCTCTGTCCTGTCTCTGGAAATTCAGCAAAAATACCAGGAAAGTATATGTTTCACTGTGGTCATGGGTTAGAGGAGGACCATCAGTTTCTCTTGGGGAGGGTACTTTTTTCCTTTCTTGGAGGTGGAGTACTTTAGGAACGAAGGAGGAATAGCAAAAAGAATACAGGACTAAGAATCAAATCGGTGGTCTGCCACCTAGCCTCTAAAGCTCAGTTTCCTCATTTGGAAAATTAGAGGCTTAGACTAGATGATCCCTAAGGTCCTTCTAATTCAGTAAGTGATGAATCTAGCTCCTGTCAGGGAGGTAGGGGCTGGATTCTGTTCCTCGAGCCCCTTGAGCACAGGCATCTCTGATCAGATCTCTGATGATCCCTTCTGAGGTCAGAAACCTGCTCTGACTGTGTTCACTCATTAATTAAATCCACACATGCAAGGCTAGATGAATAGAAGTGTTCAGCTAGCTAGAGAAAAGCCCTGAATTTCATAGTGGTAAGGAAGCTCCGTGGCAGCTAGATGGTGCTGTGGTTAGAGTGCCAGAGCTGGAGCCCAGAATATCATCTTTTTGAGTTCAAATCTAACCTCAGATATTTACTGGCTGTGTGACCTTGGGCAAGTCACTTAACCCTGTTTGTCTCAGTTCCTCATCTGTAACATGAGCTGAGAAGGAAATGGCAAATCATTCAGTATCATCACCCTTATAGTCTCACTCCCCCTCGTACTTGAGCAAAGAATAGTTTTCCAGGCAAAGCTTGGGGAAGGAGTAGAGAAGATTGTCTATTGGGGGGGAGCCCACTGCCTCCCAGAACTTCTCATTTCACTTTCAAATGGCACTAACTGTTAGGAACATTGTTGTTGTTGTTGAGTGTTCAGTCTCAGCCTACACTCCAAGATTCCATGGATCATAGCATGCCAGCCCTCCTATCCTGCATTATCTCTCAAAAGTCTATCCCAGCATATTCGTTGCTTCCATGACACTATCTACCCATCTCATCCTCTGCTACCCCCTTTTCCTGTTGTCTTCAATCTCTTTTTTTTCTAATTTAAAAAAATTAAAAATTTTTTTTGCCTTCAATCTTTCCCAACATCAGGGCCTTTTCCAATGAGTCGTGTCTTCTCATTATGTGACCAAAGTATTTTAGCTTCAGCTTCAGTATTTGACCTTCCAGTGAATAGCTGAATTAATTTCTTTAGATATTGACTAATTTGATCTCCTTGCTGTTGAAGGGACTCTCAAAAGTCTTCTCCAGCATGCAAGTGTTATCCCCTGAGAGGCTTCAGCAAATCTCATCATCCAGCACCATCGTTCAATAAAGTCAATTCCAGGGCACTCAGATTTCCTTATAGTCCAATTCTCACAGCCGTACATTGCTACTGGAAAAAATCATAGCTTTGACTCTACGGACCTTTATCAGCAAGGTGATGTCTCTGCTTTTTGGTAGCTGTCCAAATGTGCCATAGGAATCTTTCCTCACTTTGAACCTAATTGTTCTGATTTTTAGGAAATGACCTTCTCTGCTCCTTTACATCCCTTGCTTTATCTTCTGTGTTGGGCCCCAAGGAGAACAACTTTCATCTCTCCTTCTGCATCTACCTTCACACCTTTCTTAATCTTCTCTGAGCTAAATGTTCCCAGTTCCTTCAACCTGGTGCAATAGTCTTAAGGTTCCTCACCATCCTAATCATCTTCTTTTGCACACTCTGCAGGGTTTGGGGGCTAGATTTTTTTAATTTTTAAAATTTTATTTATTTTGAAACATCTGGGGCAATTTACTTTTCTTTCTGTGCAATTTTCGTTTATGATTTCTTGAAATGTGGTGTAGAAAAATAGGCTTTAAAAAATTTTGCCCATTGCTTTTCAGATGAAGCTCCTTGACTAAGCCTTTAAATTCTAATCATTCTGGTTTTCATTGAATGGCCAAAATAGCCCCCAGCTCAAGCATCTGAGGCTCCTTCTTGTTTAGGTTTTGATGTCTTAGAATGAATGTAAATAGCAATTGTTTTCTGTTGGGGCCAGAAACTCTATGGGTGTTCTCCCAGATTGGTAGTTTTGTGATGATAAATTGTTACTCGATCTACTCTTCATCATCCCATTTGGGGTTTTTCTTGGCCAAAATACTGGAGTGCTTTGTCATTTTATTCTTCAGCCCATTTTAGAGATGAGGAAAGCAAGGCAAACAGAAGATTAAGTGACTTGGTCAAGGTCACATTGCTAGTGTCTGAGGCCAGGCAGGCCTCTAATTTCATTTGTTCTCTTAGAGAGTTGTTTGGAGGCACTGAGAGGTTATATAACTTGCTCAGGGTCCTAGAGGCAGTGTGTTTAGAAACAGGCATTGGGCCCAGTTTTTCCTGAATCTGAGGCCAGCTTTCCACCTATTATGCTATGCTGCCTTTGCTGCCTTTATATAAAGTATATGCACAATAAATACAAGGTGATTTTGTAGCCGAAGTGCTTGTGGCTGGGGAGATCCCAGGAAAACCTTTTGTAAAGGGTAGCAGTAGAGTTAAGCTTTGAATTTGGAGAGGTGGAGGTGAGGAGGGAGTGCATGCCAGGCAGGGGGATAGCATGGCAAAGGCATGGAGAGAGAAAATTGTCGAGTGTGAGGAATAGCAAGACCATTTGGCCAGACTGAGGAGTGCAATGAAGGGGAATGACATATAATAACCCTGAAAAAGTAGATCATGGAGGGTAGCTGAGGATAGATTGGAAAAGGGAAAGACTTGAGGCAGGGAGGCCAGTTTGGAAGGTATTGTCACAGTCCAGCAGAGAGGTGACAGTGTTTGAATTAGGGTGGTGTCAATGCGAGTGGAGAAAAGGGAGGATGCCATATGTTGTGGAGGTAGGCATTGATTCCTAAGATATAGTCCCTGCCCTCAAGGAGTCTGTAAATTGACCAGGGAAAGACAGAAACATATTTAACTATGATACCAGGCAGGATGTGATCAATGCCATAAGAGAAGTACAAACAAAATGTTGTAAGGAATTTTTTAAAAAGCCACATGAAATAAAGCTGGTGGGTCATTTGAGTTCAGACAGTTCTAAGCTGCAGTGGGCTAAGCCAATCTAGTGTCTACAGTGAGTCTGGGACCAGATGATAAGGCCCCTAGGAGCTGGTATTGGAAGATCTCCAGGATTGCCTAAGGAGGCGAAATCTCAACTATCCTCATTTATTATGACCTCAAGTCTAGATGGTTGCAGTCACCTAACTGGTCTTCACCATTCCCTTCCCTCCCTTGTGGCCACCGATAATCCACTGATACTTGCTCAAAAACCTTGTCAAATCCTTAACCTAGAAGTGAAGACCTTCCACATTCTGAATGCAACTTTCATTTTCAGTCTTAACTTCTTACTCTCTTACACAAACCCCTTAGTTCTGGCTAGACTGGTTTACAGACTGGTTTATTGTCTCCAGAATAGGTCTTGGACATTCTAGCCTCCAAACCTTTGCCATTTCCTCTTCGCTTTCCACATACTACCTATCCTTCACAGCCCAGTTCAGTCCCATTAAACATGAAACTTTTCCTGAACAGCACCACATATAATTATATGTCCTTTCTGAGCTTATATATAATAATAATAATAATAATAATACCTAATGTAGTTGACACTTACATAGCACTTTATGGTCTATAAAGAGTTTTACAAGGTTTTCATTTGATCTTGCAACAACTCTCAGAGCCAAGTGTTATCAATGGGAGGAGCAGTGGATTTAGGAGCCAGAGGAACAAGGTCTGAATCCCACCTCTGAAACTTACTACCAATGTGACCTTGGGCAAGTTATTTAACCTTGTGGGCCTCAGTTTCTTCATTTGTAAAATGAGGGAAATGGATAAGATGAGCCCTAAGGTTCCTTCTAGCTCTAAATCTGTGATCCTTTGCTTTCCATTTTGCGGATGAGGAAACTGAGGCTTGGGAAAGTTCATTGACTCCTTCAAAATCATGTAACTAGTGAGATTCAAACCCAGATCTCACCTGAAATATTTTCTAGAATCCTTTCCACTATTTCCACATTATTTCTCAGTAGTTCTTTATTAGTAAATAAATGTGACAATCCTGTAAGTCACTAGTATAAGTATCCCTGTTTTATAAAAGTATCAGAGAAGTCATGTAATGTGTCTGGTATCACACAACTAGTAAATGTCAAGAGTTACTTGAATCCAGGTCTTCTGACTCTGTTCTTTTTTTTACTATTCCTTTTTGCCTCATGTGTGAGTATGATGTGGCTCCTAGCTGTGCTAGGAGCTTCATGAGTACAGGGGCAGGATGATGCTGTCTTGTACAAGGTCTGCCTAGTACAGGGTAGGTAGGGTACAAGAGAATCAATAGATAGCTGCTAAATGAATGGGAGAGAAGAAGCAAGAGCTGGGTGAGGAAAAGAGAGTGAAAGGAAAACGGCAGAAAGTGTAGGGGATGGGAAGGCAGCCTTGGATCTGATGAGATGAGGCCCAGGGCTTAAGTTTGTCATCTTAGGTCTCTCAGCAGTTTGAGTCAGGAGAACCCAAGATAACTCCTCAAAGTTATTTGAGGTTATTCCTTTGGGTCTGTCTTCTGTGCTGACTCTAGTGTTTCCTGGTCCCCAGGTTCCTGTCTCACAAGCTTTAGATAGTTGGAATTGTTGTGATTTTGTGTTGTGTTGTGGAGGTCATCTTGAAAGAATTCAGACTCAGAGCATCTCCAATTCAAGCAAAGACATTTATTGGGAGTGGGCTGTGTTCCGAGAGGATCCAGTAACTTATCAGAGGAAGATGGGGATTTTTATAGGGCAAAAGATGCAGTTACATAACAGAATATATGGATATTGAAAAGGCAGCAGGGTTTTGTCAAGGGATTAGGTAACAGGAGAGGGACTCAGTGGAACTATGCATGTGGTTACCCACAATGCATATAGAAAAACTCTTTTGGGGGGACATATATGTATGATAGTGATATTATTATAAGCCTCTCTACATTATAAGTTTGCCTAAAGGACAGCTATTGCTGTCCTGTACAGGTGCCTACTTAGGGAAAGTCCTTTCTATTGTTGTGGAGTCCACATCCTGCTTGGGCATTCTGGTGCTACTGCTTTCTGATTGGCTGACTTGTGGTCCTGTCTGAGATTAGATAGATATGGTTGTGGTTGAGTGCATGGACATACCTGCTGTTTCTGTGAGAAATATGAGTTCGTGGGTCTGGTGGCAGTGGCTGGCTAGAGGTAGTGGCTAGGATTCTATCACATGGACACACCTGCTGTTCTAGTGAGGCATATATTAGAAAGTTAGGATACTGAGTCTGGGGGCAGTGGCTAGCTAGGGTCAGTGGGCCTGCTGCTCAGTGAGGCCTGTGATTGAGTCTGGGGGCAGTGGTAGGGTTAAAGCCAGATTGTGTGGTTAAATCAGAACACCCCCTGCTATTCAGTGAGGCCCATAAGGAAGCTAGAATATTGGGGCTGGGGGACAGCTTTATTAGGATTCCATCAGAATGATGGTAGATAGACTAATGTGGGGTGAAAGGGGCAAGTGAGAGGAAGCCCAGAAATCTTGATCAGTGGGAGTAGGTTATGGTGCCTATGGGGACTCCCCAGGATTTGAATTGGAGGGGAGGGGAAGGGATTTTTTTAAAAGTTCCAGGAATGAACAAATCCATTACTCTTTATCTCATGTGGGCAGGTTCATGGTGAAGCTGGCAGAAGAAACTGATGGCATCATTGTTACCAATGACCAGTTCCGAGACTTGTCAGATGAATCTGTGAAATGGGCAGAAATCATCAGAGAACAGTGAGGAAGCCTTTTTTGGAGAATGGGGCATAGGGCTTCTCACATTCCTTAAAAGCGGTTCTGGTTTGTCCATGGGAGATAGGGGCTATAAGAAAGTAGTTTGAGCTGCTAGGGCTGAAAATGGTTCCTAATAGTTCTGGTGGGATGAGTTGTTGAGTCTTAGAACCATCCTCAGTGTCTGGTGAAGCATCCCTTGGGGCAGGCTGTCAAGTCTGGGGGGTTGTTCTTGATGATTTCAGTGATGGTATCTCTTCTATCTCTGGCCTAGTCTGTTGCCTTTCACTTTTGTGGGGAACATCTTCATGGTCCCAGATGACCCACTGGGGCGTGAAGGCCCCACCCTGGATGAGTTCCTCAAGAAACCAAATAGGTAAACAGTCAAACCTTCCCCTCTTTTGCTCCTTTCCTCTTGCCACTCTGTGGTCCCCGCCTACACAGTCTCCACTCTAGAAAGCTTCAGCCCAGGTTGCTTGGGTGGCATTGTGTTCTCTCTCTGGGCCAGTTGTCTGGGCATTTGGATGAATTGCCAGAGACTTACATTCAAATTACCTTTCTAGGGAATTCTGAGACAAAGTTTGCTGGGCCGCCACAAGCAATATGGGTTTTTTATCAGGGTATTTGCGTATGGCAGGACTTAGACATTGAGTGAGCCTTTTCTGGACTAGACCTTTTCAGAAGTGGGTTGATTTTTCTCTTTAGTGTTAAGCTCTGAGAACTTCCATGGTTATGGCCCTTCTTTTCCTCCTCCATCAAGGGCATGTGGGCAATGGCCTCTGCTCTCCCTCAACTCTTTAGTGTCTCCATCCTTTTTCCCCAGGCCACAGGCTTCAAGAGGTCGATCAACTGGTCGCCGAGGGCCTCCCCATAACCGACCTTCCCGACCCAGCTCCCGGGCCCGATCTCAGGTTCGATCGGGAGCCCAGCCTCGACCACTACCTCGACCTCGATCTCAGCCTCGACCCCACACCAGGGGTCTGACAGAATCTGAAATTCAGCCAAAGCAGCCGGAGCAAAAGGAGGAAGATGAGGGAATTAGCGGCTTACGAAAGGCAAGAGAGACTGAGCAGCTTCGGCACAAGCTGCTGGAGGTGTTTTGGGGACAGGACCATAAGGTGGACTTCATCCTACAGCGGAACCCCTCTAACAGGGACCTTAACCAGCTGTCAGAGGCCCTGCTCAGTCTGAACTTCTGAGCCTTTCAGTGAATGGAGGTTGCTGGTGAGGTGCATCCTGGTGATCTGGATAGTTGGGTCCTGCTTCTGACTTAAGAGTGAGATGTGGGGAACCATGGGCAAAGCAGAGGGGCAGGAAGCAGGGACCTCTTTTCCCCCTGGCAGGCTTGGACCTACATGGTTAGGAGGCCAGGACCACTCTATAGCTAACTTGGCCCAGGGACACTGGAGGAGTACTAGATTCTGCCAAACCCTGGAAGTCTTTGTGTTATGTGAAAGATTACGTGTGGACACAGCAGGGAGGTAGTAAAAACTGCACTCATCTAGGAATCAGGATACTTGAGTTCTAGGCCTGGGTCCTAGTACCCTTGGCAAGGGGTTACTCAACTACCTTTAGGCTAAACCTAAACTTCTATTTCTTCATCTATAAGAAGGAAATTAATATACCTGTTGAGGAGAAAGGGCCTGGAACTCTACCAATTTCCAGGTATGGTTACCTGCCAGTTCACAGGGTTCACTTCATTTTAGGTGAAATTCTTTGGCATCCAAGTGGGTCCCCAAGAGATCTTAGATTGGCTTCTTAGTGTTAGAAGTCCCAGGCTTTTTCCCTTTTAGACAACCCCCTATCCAAATGTATCCTATTCTTACGTTTGGATTTATGTGTGATAATTAAGTTTACAAAAATATTTTCAGGGTTCATTAAAAAGGCAGCTTCTGTCTAGGGCATTTGTTTGCTTATTGATCATTAACTACAACTTGACAGTGTGGCTGTGGTTAAACTTGCAGAAATATTGGGAAGCCACAATCAGTTGAATGATAATAAAACTTCTCTGAAATGATCACAGGTTATCATTTGACTTACTAAAATCCATGTATAGGAACACACCTGTATTATGTATGAGGTGTGTGTAATGGTGGTGTATGTGCATAAACAATAGGGATGGTCACCTGATTGTAATCTTTACCTGAAAATGCTGGTTATCAAATGACTGGGGAATGGAGAACTAGAAAGGATAGAAAGGTAAACTGGGAATCGGGTTCATGTTATATCCCCATCCCTACCCTGGAGATCCTTTCTGGGCTAATTTATCTCAGATTTTCTTCTCAGGGACTCCCCGAAGTCCCTTCTAGCTCCCCAAAGTCCCTACCCACAGTAACATGGGTGCTTTAGGAACCTTTTGGGGAGCTGTAACTAGGAATAGGATTACTGGGTTCTAATTCTCCAGTCTTTGGAATCTGTCCCATGAAGGGGGTTTTGCTTGGGATGGGCACTGCCACTAGTGACATCATTGTATGCCTATCAAAAGGTTCCCAGGGGGAAAGAGATTTTGGTTAGTATTTGGGGAGGGAGGCTGATACTTGGAGTGTGGTTAGTAGCAAGAGAAGGACCATAAATAAAATTTTAAGCCATGCTTGTCTGTTCATAAGGTCATTAAGGCTTGTTTCTGAACCAGATAGTTGGGTTGACATGTTTCCTTAAACTGCAAAATGTCTAAATGTGTTTTGTTGACGCTTGCCTTGTGAATGCATCCTTGCCTGTTACTTGGCACCACCATAGGCAGACTGGCTCTACCTCAGATGCTAAGGACCCTGGGAAACTGGATTAATTGTAATGCTGCACCAGTACCTGGATCAGCTCTTGGTTTCTCTGTCCCTATTTGGGAAATCTTGAGCTCCTTACAAATTAAACATTCCCATTTAAGTTTTAGATAGTTTGGTAGCTTCAGTGCTTTATTTATAAATATATTTTTTTGAAGTTTTATTGTTCTTGTAATTCTTACAAAATAAAGTATATCTTTACCACTACCCTGCTGAGGGCTGGGCTATAATGACCTGGTGCTTTGAATAATCAGTCTATAGAGAGGATCTTGTTATAAACAATATTTGTAAATATCAGTTCTTTCTTTTCTAGCCTCGTTTTAGTTTAGGCATTGTGGTATGTTGGGTTTCTGTTCCAGCTGCCCTTTGTGACTGGACAAGTCACTTAACCTAAGCTTCAGGTTTGTCATCTATAAAATGAGGATATTTGATTGTCTTCTGGAAGTATATTGACAAATGAACTTTATAAACTGTCACAGGTATGGGTTTTCTTTAATTGTCCAGGAGGCTTAGGGCTTTGCCTGGGAGAGGTATTCCATTAATGACATTATTGTTTCTGGGGAAACAAAAGATCCCTGGAAAAGATAGGGATTTTTTGGTTAGTATTTGGGAAGAGGAATAGAAAAAATTTAAGGGGCAAAAAAGTATTTTGTGGTGTAACTCCTGGAACCCTATGTGGAAGGGCCTGTGTCCTCTAAGATCAATCTAAGTAAGGAGAGCTTGGACCAGTGCAGTGCAGCCAAAAGAATGGGCCTGTTGGCAGGTTTTTTTTTTTTGGCTAGGCAATGGGGTTAAGTGACTTGCCCAGGGTTACAGAGCTAGTGTCAAGTGTCTAAGGCTGGATTTGAACTCAGGTCCTCCTGGCTCCAACGCTGGTGCTCTATCCACCGCACAACCTAGCTGCCCCTGTTGGCAGCTCATTTAAGGAATCTTGTGGCCAGTCCAGAGAAAACAAACACAAGTTAGTTAAAACAGTTGGCTTTATCCTCTGTATAATATAGCACTATATATAGCCTCAGGGAGAAATGAGGTGATGAGATGAACTCAGACTGTGGAGTTCCATGGAAAGGGGCTGAAGGGTGGTGGCCCAAGGTAACTTGATTAGTGATTTGAGACAAGTTGCTTAGCAAAGAAACAACAGAGTATATTTATACACACACACACACACACACACACACACACACACACAACACTGTTGTAATTGTTATGGTGGAATAAAGAAACCTGGTTTCTTTCAGACAAATTACTTATTTAGCAGGGTATACAGCTGCAGAAACAAATCAGGTCCAAGGTTCTTTGTAGCCAAAGACAATGACCATTGGTTTTTACACAGTTAATATACAATTTGGAGGGAGTGAAAAATACAGCGATCGAGACACCTGGTTTCTTAATGGTATGAGAGCACTGGAAGACACTGAGGGGAGAGGGGTACTTTTGTGGCATTCCTTAAATTGGGTGACTGTTGAGAGGGGATACCTTGTGACCTCCAAAATCAGGCAATTCTAAGAAGTTGAAATTTAACTATAAAATGGTGGATGGGGCAAAATGAAGTCACTAATGGTACTTTATTATAAATATCTTATACATATGTTTGTGTGTACACACATACATACACACACAGAGTGAGAGCCTCAGTAAAATGTTCTAAGGAATTGGTTATGTACATAGGATCAAGATCTGAACAGGATGGCCCCTTTCAGAGAAAAAGTCCTTTAAGCCTCTTCAAGACACAGACTGCTTCAGGGCAGCCCCCAACGCTGGAAAGACATATTGATAGCCGCTGGCCAAAGTCCTTCGAGGTATCACCTTCTGGCCCTCCAGCAGCATGACAGCACGTTCTCGCCCAAAGACTGCTTGGACAGCAGGGCTGGGCAGAGAGAGAAAGGCAGGGCGACCCAGGGCAGCACCTAAGGCCTTGGCAAACTCAGCATTGGTGGTAGAGGAAGCTGGAGAAACCCCATTCAGGATCCCATTAACATGGTTATTCTCTATAGCATGGACCAGGATCCCTGACATGTCCTCAATATGGATCCAGGGAAAGAACTGTTGGCCTGAACCAATAGGCCCACCAAGGCCTAGGCGGAAGGGCAGCAGCATGTGGCCAATGGCACCACCCCCACGGCCCAGCACAGCACCTGGTATACATCAGGACATTATACAGGGCAGGGCTAACAGCTTCCTGTGTAGTCCTATTGCTTCCTTGTTCTGCCCCTTAGATTGATAACTTTCTGCCCCCTTTTTTTCTAGGTACCCCTCCCATTTTGTCTTTCATTCTATTCTGCCTCAGGCTTTCGCCAGAACCAGTGGTTAGGCAGTTTGGGTGTTATCACTTACTCTCTGGGGCCTCAAGATCCACCATCCCTCCCACCACTCTGCCCTGAAAGACTGGCTCAAAGCCCAATTCTGTGGAGCTGAGATGTTGTATATATATTTTTTCTTGAATGCATATCCCCACATTTCCTAACTTGCTTCCCCCACTCACTTCATTCCAGTCCTAAGGAGTTCCAAACCGACCCTAGCCCCCTCACCAGAGCGAACCACCACCTGGCGTGTGGCACCTCCAGGGAGCTTGGCTGCTGCTTCCCACTTGGATACCAGTTTTGAGAAGAAGTCAAAATCACCACCCGGGCTGTCCTCATCATACTCTGCAGTCAGGCTGGGCTGGTAATAAGCTGTCAAGAGAAAGAATGTCCTTGTGTCTTCTACTTTCACAAGTGAGTTAAGCATTTGCTTTTCTCACTCTCAATGGCTACAGCTGCATTGACACCCACAGGCTCTGTAACACTCCCCTGAGCCCCTAGGATCTCTTCTGGTATTTCCTTAAGGAATACCAGAGATATTATAGCTTATCCCTTTGTATATCACCTCCCTTGGTTTTGCTGAGGGAATCCAAGGGGTTTTCCTTTGGCTTTGGACCACCTCAGGTAAAGTATAAAAGTTATCATTTTGGGGGGGCCTATTTTGCATGTGTATGGTGATGGGAACAACAGGGAAGGAAAAGAGTTATGGCTTTCTGAAGCTGAAAGGAATGTAATCCTTTTTTACTTTCCTGAGTGATGGCAGCAGAGCAGAAGCCATACCCCTTTCAGGAGCCAAGATACTACTTTTCCTGGCATAGTCTTACCTAGGTGGGGGCAGGGCTCAAGCTGCAGCCCTTGCCAGTTCTCCTCAGAGAGGGAGTTAAGGTCTGTGATATATATACATACCTGTGCCTGTGACCAAGACCCAGGCCTGAGGGGGCTGTGTGGCCTTGGCAATGGCTGTAGCCAATATGTGGGTAGTATCTACACGGCTGCTGAGTAGGTCCTTCTGGTAGGTCTCAGTCCACCTGGAGTCAGTGGGAAGAGATATATCTCAAGAATCTCAAGCTTCTTTAGATTTGGCATTCTGACCATTTTTTTCATCCCTAGGCCCAAGGGTTTTCAAGACTTTCCTGCTGAAGACTGAGTCACTTCCGACCCTTTCCATCCATAACTCCCTCAATAATCCTTATGGATATATGCGTGAAAGAGAGGCCAGAGGGGATGGGGGGATTTGTTAGGGGGGTCTGCTCACTTTGAAAATCCCCTAACTACCATTCTACAAAGTCCACAGCAGTCAGAATGGCTTTGTGAAGACTCCCTTAAATCCCCTCCCTCCACTTTCCCAAGCACTCAGAGTGACCTTCTGAAGGGGTTGAAGATGTTCTCCCCAGCCAAGTTGACCACAGCTTCACAGGGGGGCAACCCAGAGTGGGTAAGCTCATTCTGTGGAAAGAAAGCAAAAGATGTTCCAACAGGGCCGGCTTTTCTCCCCAAAGAGTTTTTTCTACCCAGTTTTGTTTTCTAGGACACAACATCGTTTAAAGGAAGGATGCTTCTTCTTGTTATTTGGAGCAGTACCTTCAGTGAGAAAAATACAGAATTGTACCTTGGAATGTTTCTTTAAACTTGGTCTCTTTCTTATGTACTATCTTTACCAAGGCTATGCTTCAGTTTAAAAAATTCAATTTTATTTTAAAGTTCAGCTTCAACAGTTCATTTTTTGATGAGAAACAACGAATGACCAGGATGATAGTGTACTGTAAAGTCCAGAGAGGGGAGGCGGTTCCGGTAGGGCCCCAAGAAATTCTTTTCCATCACGTACCCAAGTGATCCGATTGGCACCAGGCTGCCGGGAGACCACCATCACCTCGTGTCCTCGGGAGCGCAGCAGTCGAGTCAGGGCCCTGCCGATGAAGCCCGTCCCACCGCCTGGCAGAAAGCAGCCTGGCCCTCGCCTAGGGCACGATGCCCCTCTGTGCCCAGGGCCTCCCTTCTCCCCCAGGGCTCCCCCCCCACTTCCCAGGGTCCGTCCCCCTCTAACTCTGGCATCCTCCCCCCTCCTCTTCCTCAAGGACCCTCCCCTCGGAGCTCCTCCCCCTTCCCCATTCTTCGCCAGGGCCCCTCCCTCCATCCCTGGCTCTTCTCCTCTGCCCTGGAAACTGCCGAGGTGATCAGAGTCCTGGGGCAGGGGAAGGTCAGCCTCCGGCCGGCGAGGCCACGTTGCCAGGGCACAGGCTGGGATAGCGGCGGGTCAAGGTTTACAATTCCTCTAACTCCAACCTAACTCTTCTCTCCGGACTCATGCCTGCTCCACGGCGCCACTCACCTATAAGCACCTTCATTTTGGAGGCCGGCGTTCCGTGCGCCTGCGCAGGCAGCGGGTCCCCGCCCCCCACTGCCAAAGGCTCCGCCCCCTCCGTGCCGGGTTCTGCTCATGCTCTGCTCATGCGCCTATGAGCCCCGCGGGGCCTGGTGTGGTGAGGGTGATGGGTTGTGCGATCCGGCCCAGACGTCTTTTAAAGGGACCGGACTATGCGAGTGGGACACACTGGGAAAGGGACGAAGCCGCTCCATATAGAATGGCACTCCTGAAGCTGTATTGTTGCTTCTATGGTAGACTGGGTGCAGATTCCGCATGCAACGCTTCCTAGTTGTGTGACCGCTCCGTGCCTCAGTTTCTAGCTCTGTAAATGAGGGGGTTGGACATGGTGGCATCCAAGGTCTTTCCCAGCATTAAATCTATGATTCCCTCGATTGTTATGAAGAGAAGCCTCCCGGCATATGGTGACCAGGAGGGAATAGGGGCTGCCCAGGTGGGCAGGTGTGCAGCCAGAGGGTCTCACAATGGGATCGACCTCCTCACCTGGTTCTAGGTTGGAAACCTGGATCCCCTTGATGGCTGAGAGGTATGCTGGAGAGGGTTGGGCTAGGAAGGTGGCCATAATATACCTCCCAACTCTGAATTCTTGACTCCTTTACCATGTAGAAGTAGAAAGATGACTGTGTTTAAAGACTTGTTTCAATTCCTGGTTCTCCTGAACTGTTTCCTTATCCATAAAATGAGGTCAGACTAAGTGTCTAAGGATCCTTCCATTCTAAAATCTTGTCTATGAAATCAGCTCTTAAGGGAAATAGCAAAAATACTGAAATGTGTGATTCTTAAGGTAGGGATAATGGATTTTCTTAACTTTAGGATTTAGAAGTCAAATACTCAGAAGTCAAAATGAAACAACCAATTATCAATTTAGGTAAATGCATTTCTAAATCACTTTGAACAGAGAATCATTCATCTCAACATTAATATGTTGAAACTACCTTATGTATTTTCGTAATAGCCAAGAGTTCAAATGAAAAATCTGCTCTCATAGTAAATATCATTATCATTGTTATTACTTGTTTATAACCAAATATACTTCTTTAAATGTTAAGTTTTCAAAAATTATATCACATCCTTTTTTTTAAAAGCCCAATTCATATGCAACAGAATCCAGATTAAAATTACTTTAACGCCATTTCTACCTCTCAAATTTTACGATCTGAGAGAATTTTAGGAATACAATACAATTTAGAAATACAGTCATGACACAAACAATAAACTTCAGATGACATCAATTTTCAGATTATCTCAAATAGAAATTATTGATTTTATTACTTTTCATATTTTAAAACTACTTCAAAGTTACCAGGTATGGAATAATTACATTAAATTAGAGAGGTTATAGTAATGTATCTAGCATATGGTAGTCATTGTACAATCATGTGACCCTCACAACATCCCTGGGAAGTGGGTTCCACTATTATCCCCTTCTGAACAGTAAACTGAGGTAAATAGATTTAAATCATATCAAATCTGGATTTATAATCAGTAAGGATAAATATTTTAATTTTTTTTAAAGTCCAATACTCTTGGCCCTTTAAAAGGAAATATATAAATTCATATATTCCTTTAAAAAGACACATGATTGTATAATAGGAAATGCATATAAAGTTTTACAACCAGTTTGAAATCACCTGTTATCATCAGGTTAGCTAAAGGCTTTGGCCCAGGAGAAGAGACCTAAGGAATTTGATTTAATGCTGACGGGGTGTGGCTAGTTTCCCCAGGCATAAACCTCCAAAGCCTCCAATAATTAGTTGAACAGTACAAGGAAACATCTCAAGATTTTATGTAATAATTGCAAATCACAATGGCTAATATCTTTACTATAGCCAGTATTTATATAAGTTTAGATTTAATAAGGCCTTCTTATAAATTTATCCTGAAAGGCAGGCAGACACAATTCCATCTAACCCTCTATAACTTTATTAGTTTTCAAATCAAGCTACAAAATTTTCATTTTCAATCTTTCTACTTAAAATCAAACTTTTTCACACCTTCTAATGTAGAAGCTGCAAGGTTCTGTTTAATCCTGACTGTGGTACCATGATATTTTAAATTGTTTCTTTCTGGCTGCTTGCAGTTTGGAATTTGGCTACTATATTCCTTGGTGTTTTCAATTTGGGATCTCTTTCAGGAGGTGATCCATGGATTCTTTCTATGGCTATTATACCCTCTGGTTCCAGGACCTCAAGGCAGTTTTCCTTAATGATTTCCTGAAAGATACTGTCCTGGCTCTTTTTTTCATCGTGATTTTCAAGTAGACCAATAATTTTTAAATTTTCTCTCCTGGATCGATTTTCCAGGTCAGTTGTTTTACCAGTGAGGTATTTAACATTTTCATCTATTTTTTCATTCTTTTCTTTCTGTTTCACTGATTCTTGCTCTCTCATAGAGACATTAGCTTCCATTTGCCCAATTCTAATTTTTAACAAATTGTTTTCTTTTATTAGATTTTGTACCTCCTTCCCCATTTGGCCAATTATATTTTTTAGGGATTTGTTTTCTTCAGTGTACTTTTTTTTCCAGTTAGCCAATTATATATTTTTTTGCATTTTAAAAAAATTTTTATTAATTTATTTTGATTTATCAACAATCACTTCCATATGCTTTTGAGTTTAAAATTTTTCTCCCCCTTCCTCCCTATCAGCCTCCCCAAGATGGCACACAATCTCATATAGGCTATACATTTACATTCCTATTAAACATATTTTTCACATTAGTGAAGTTGTAAGTAAAACTTAAAACCAATAGGAGGAACTATTAGAAAGAGGAAACAAAACAGAAGAGAAAAAAAAATGATAGCGATTCAGCTTCCATAGTTCTTTCTTTGGATGTGGATAGCATTTTCCATCACGGGGCCTCTGGAGATATCTTAGATCCTTGTATTGCTGAGAAGAGTTAAGTTTATCATTATTAGTCATCATGCAACATGGCTGTTATTGTGTACAACGTTCTCTTGGTTCTGCTCACTTCACTCAGCATCAGACCATATAAGTCTTTCCAGGTTTTTCTGAAGTCAGCCTGTTCATCCTTTCTTATAGCACGATAGTATTCCATTACATTCATATACCACAACTTGCTCAGCCATTCCCCAATTGATGGGCATCCTCTCAATTTCCAATTCTTTGCCACCACAAAAAGAGCTGCTATGAATATTTTTGTACATGTGGGTCCTTTTCCCATTTGTATGATCTCTTTGGGATATAGCCCTAGAAGTGGTATTGCTGGGTCAAAGGGTATGCACATTTTTATAGCCCTTTGGGCATAGTTCCAAATTGTTCTCCAAAATGGTTGGATCAGTTCACAACTCCACCAACAATGCATTAGTGTTCCAATTGTCCCACATCTTCTCCAACATTTATCATTTTCCTGTTTTGTCATGTTGGCCAATCTGATAGGTGTGATGTGGTACCTCAGAGTTGTTTTGATTTGCATTTCCCCTAATCAGTAATGATTTAGAGCATTTTTTTCATATGACTATAGATGGCTTTAATTTCTTCATCTGAGAACTGTCTGTTCATATCCTTTGACCATTTATCAATTGGGGAATGGCTTGTAGTCTTATAAATTTGTCTTAATTCTCTATATATTTTAGAAATGAGACCCTTATCAGAAAGACTGGTTGTAAAAATTCTTTCCCAGTTTTCTACCTTCCTTCTAATCTTAGCTGCATTGGCTTTGTTTGTGCAAAAACTTTTCAATTTAATGTAATCAAAATTATCTATTTTGCTTTTCATAATGTTCTCTATCTCCTATTTGGTCATGAATTCTTCTGTTCTTCATAGATCTGATAGGTAAACTATTCCTTGTTTTCCCAGTTTGCTTATAGTATCAGCCTTTATATCTAAATCATGAACCCATTTTGACTATTTTGGTATATGGTGTAAGATTTGGGTCTATGCCTGGTTTCTTCCAACTCTTTTCCAGTTTTCCCAGCAGTTTTTTTCAAAGAGTGGGTTCTTGTCCCAGAAGCTGGGGTCTTTGAGTTTATCAAATAATAGATTACTATAGTAGTTGACTAGTGGGTCTTGCATATTTAACCTATTCCGCTGATCTACCACTCCATTTCTTAGCCAGTACCAAGCAGTATTGATGATTGCTGCTTTATAATACAATTTAAGATCTGGAATTTCTAGGCCGCCTTCCCCTGCATTTCTTTTCATTAGTTCCTTTGATATTCTGGACCTTTTGTTCTTCCAAATGAATCTTGTTATTATTTTTTCTAACTCTATAAAATAATTTTTTGGTAGTTTGATTGGTATGGCACTGAATAAGTAAATTAGTTTAGGTAGGATTGTCATTTTTATTATATTAGCTTGGCCTACCCATGAGCAACTAATGTTTTTCCAATTATTTAGATCTGATTTTATTTGTGTGAAAAGTGTTTTGTAATTGAGTGGGATAGAGACCACCTACCTGAAAAAAAATTCAGAGGCTTCTCTTGGAGGCTTTGGATGTAGGAGCTTTGACTTTGTTGTCTTCTTCTAGTTGTATATTTTGATCTTCTTTTTCACCAAAGTAAGATGATATAGTCTGACTCTTTTTGTTCTGCTTGCTCATGATCCCGGCCAATTACTTGAGTTTTAAACTCTTTGTTAAGGTACGAATCTGCTTCCAGTGTGGAGAATGTACTGTCCCAAGCTTTGGGGGTTTGTACAACTGTTTTCAGAGATACTTGTAGGGACCTGTAAATTTTCAGTTCTTCCAAGGTGGTATGATAAGGGGTGAGGTGTTTACTCCTTTCCTGGCCTGTGACTACAAGTATTTCTTTCTGTCCTGTAACTGTGAGGAGGGGGTTCCTCTCCACAGCCACTACAAGCTCCACCATGCCAGCGCTCCTCCTCACCCCAGCACTGCCGCCCAGAACTGTGACCCAGATCCAAACACGGGCAAAGCAAGAGATTCCTGCCTCAGCACTGGCAAAGAGATCCCTGTGATCTCTCTCTGATCAGCCACTGGATTCCCCCTCAGTCTGTGGGCCCAAAGCTCAGGAAGCAGCTGCCCCCCACAGCACCATGCTCTTGGGGAATGGAGCTGAAACCCCGCCTTCCTTTCTCAGCACCGACAGAAA